ATTTCTAATGCAGCCAGCAGGCCACCACCAGATCTGAGACCAATCCTCGATAACGAGAGTAAAGCAGATCCAATTTCGCAAGAAGCTGCTTTGAAATACCGAGCTGCACTCGGGAAACTCAGTTGGATGAGCCAAACCATGGTATTTCTGTGCATTTATTGCGCCTTGTTGGCCACAGGTATGGCCGAGCCGACCGATGCACATGAGCATGCTATGCGAGCTGTGTTGAGGTGGCTTCGTAGTTTAAAGAGCATGCAGCAATGTTTTCCATCACCAGAAGCAAAGCCATTCGACACTGATTCTCACAAACTCATCATGTATTGCGATGCTTCTTGGGCACCTCTCCGAATGCTGCGCAGGAGATCCATAAGTGGATGTGTGACTTTCTATCGAGGATCGGTGGTAAAGGGATTCTCTCGAATTCAACAGATCGTAGCTACCAGCAGTTGTGAAGCTGAATTGTCGGCACTTGCTGACTGCATGCAGGAAGCAATTGGACTAAGTAGAATTTCACAGCATTTCTTCTTTGACACCCATTCGCAGATCACATCTCTCCATGAAGGAGTTCAACATGCCGAAGCTATCCATCGACTAATCAATTTTTTGTTTGCGACTGAACATATCACGGAAGAGAGGCCAAAGGTCGAGATTGAGTGCAGATGTGATTCACAAGCAGCTATCAGAGTTTTGTCGGCTTCAGGACTGCAGCGGAGATCTCGCCACGTGGAATTGCGAATTTGTTTTTGCCAGGACCTTGTAAAGAAGCGATATATCGTATTGACTTGGGTTGAAGGCGAAGAACAAATAGCTGATCTCTTTACCAAAACTCTAGGACTGCGACTGTTTATGAAACATCTTGTGGCCATGGGATTCCACGAGGCCCCAGAAATGTCTGAAGTAATGCCTGAGAAGATTTCGTCCAAAGCCCAATCAGCCAAGAAGCCAAAGGGGGAGAACAAAATCCAACAGCAAGCAGTTTCGTCCACCGAGAAAGATGTCGCAAAGGAACGCGACAGAATCCTCATGCCTGCTGTAGTCTTTTCATATTTTTCCAAGGAGTGTGTCCTCATTGAAGCGTGTGAGATTTCAAATGTTTCTTGCCATGATTTTGCGTATTTAGTGCTGGAAACTGGCTGTGAGAGTAGCTCACATCTGACCAAAACAGCATTCAAAGACTTGAAGCGTGGGACCCTCATTGTCTGTTGTACTGAACCTTCACACCTGGAAGAATATTGGAAAGATATTAAGATATGCTTACAGGATTTCAAGAAAGCGATGAAACCATCATACATGCATATTTCGTTGCCTTGCACTGGAGGTAGTAGCCTCCAACGCCTATCAAAGAATGAGGATTTGAAGGCAGAAAGCATGCAGGAATTTCTGAGGTTGATTGGATTTTGTTTTGAACTGATACCGCATGTCCTCCTTTGGTCATTTGAACTTCCCAAGCGAAATCAATACTGGACCAGAACTGAGTTGCAGGAGCTGTTGAAATGTAGTAAACAACCTCTTTATAGCCAGTTTGTCCAATATTGTCAACTTGACGCAGAACCGATCAGCAAGATTCTTCAATTTGTCAGCAACCATCCTTTGATTGTGCAGTCCTTGGCATGCTTTTCAGTTTGCTCTTGCGATGATGGACGTCATAAGCATTTTAATGAGATCAACTGGACAAACACTGAAAGGTATCCCTGGAAATTGTGTGGGTGCCTCATCGCCTCTGTGAAAAGCATTTTCGAGAAAGAGCTTTATGATTTCCGACCGCATGGGCCAGACAACGCCTATCTGATGTGGGACCCGAAACAACCTGAGGATTTTCGATTTTCACGAAAGAGATTGGCTGAATTTCCTATCTCGGCAGCCTGAAACTTAGTGAGCTTCGGGTTTATATGAGGTGACAGGTTTTCAGCAAAGTATTCCAACCTTTGAATTATATAGCCATGGGACATGTTGGATATGAGAAGATTTGAGAAGCAGTGGCGAGCGAAGGCAAAAGATGTCAATTTTTCCTTTAGTCTCATCATTGCAGATCTTTTAAGACTCATGCAATCCCATGTGACTTCCAGCCTTTTGACACTTGCAATCATTTGCACTTCAGTACATCGAATTTTCCCTTGTGTGCAGATCCTCCGCCATGACACGAAAGGGGGTGTGAATATAATGCACCATCTGGGACAGAGGTGCATGTTAACAATCGTGTCAGCGCTTCAGATCCAAAATCTCAGCCGCTTAGGCTTAAATTCATGAAGCATATGCCGTTTGGTGCTCAACACCAATTGAAATGATTTTCTTGATCAAAAACGCCAAAGCACAGTTGATTTTTGGTGCAGAACACACGAAATTTTCTCCTGAGAAAGAGTATTGATTTTTGGACAGTGATAAGCCAAGTTTTGCACAATTCCTGCCGGAATTGTGAATCCAAAGGTGCAGTGCAAAGAGTGAGGATCTCATTCCATAGAGATTTAGTTTGATAATGTCTGTGCATCTTTGATGCATCCGTCGGTAGACATAAACTTAGTGCAGCAGATGTCACGAGAGCTTGAACTAAATTTCTTGGGAGTGCGTGCTCCACTGCGACAGTCAGAAATATTTTCAGATGGGAAAGCTGCTCACAACTGAGAACAGTTGTGGAAAATGTGAGAGAAACCGATTCCAACACTCTAGACTTTATGCCATTTGCTTGTCTTCAGAAGCCATCGGCAACCACATGTAACTACAAGCATCCGAGCATTGACCTATAGTGCTTAGCGCAGTGCGATTTATTTGGATTGTGCCCGTGCACTCAGTTCAGAGAGTCTCGCAGTTGTGATCTCGGATTTAATTTGCGAAGCCATAATCAGTTGCACATATTTCTCCTTTTTTTTGGTTTTGTGCAATCTTCACATTTGGTGGAACCAAATGTTTGCTTGAATGTTCTGAACTGCAGAAAGAGCCACTTGAGAAGTGGTGGAAACGTAGTGATAGCAGGAAAGTAGACAAGCCAAGTGTCTGAGCGAATGACCATCTCAGCCAAGAACAGTGAGACATAGTTTCAGAATTTGTCACTTAGATCCACTTTAAATTTGGACTGATTTGCAAATTTCGTTCACTGCTGTTCACTCATTGTTTTGCATGTGACACAGAAGAAATTGCTTGACACCAACTTTTGCACCATAGAAGGTGCTAATTAGGTCAACGTTTGGGTCGACAAGAATTTCCAAGTGAGTAGGCTGTGAGAGAACAGAACTGAAGGACTTGGATCTAACCCAAACTGATGCAAAGAAAACAGTTTTTCATCCTGCCAAAGGCTGGATGTGCTGTCCATGGAATAATGAATTCCATCCCGGAATCTGGCTCAAGGGCCACACCGCGATTATGGAAAAGATCAGAACAGAGATTTCACTGGGAGTGACATCATAAGAACTCACATTTTAAGATCTTGAAAGGTATCTGGTTGACAACCTACTGTTTATCCCCTGGGGCTGTTAAATTCCGCAGATGATGATGATGATGATGACGACGACATGACGAGATCGAGATCGCAGAGTTTAGAGTTTGCTTCCAATGTCCATCACTTTGCACACCGATGATATTGGTTTCCGCAGCTCCACTCACTCTGTCCAGTAAGGAATGCATGTTCCAAGGTCTAACAAAAAAAAGGTGGCAAAATACCCTCGGTCCTTTCATTCTGAGTCTGCACATCTGGTGTTTGAAGATGTTACAAGAGTATACCCCCATTCAGTCCTTCAGCCTCAAACGTGGATTCATCCTAAAGGACAAATGAAACATCTTGTGGTTCCCAATATTTCCCATTCAGCCTGGGCCGGCTGGGCCACGGGCTGGGCCAAGGGCTGGGCCGCTGGTTGGGCTGGCTTGCCTGCTTGGGCCACTGGACCCAGGCAAAGCCTGGGCCAACAGAATGATGTGCTTGCGATATGTTTCTTTTAATCGATAAAAAAGCGAATCCAATTTTCAGAGATGTTCTTTCATGTAATAATATGTATAATATATTTAAATATGTGTTGATGTTGTGTGACATTCTACTGATCCAAAATTTGATGGAGAGGATGGCACTAGTACTATAGATGTCTGGATCCGTCTGTACTACCCAGGGAACACAATAGCCCTTACACAGGGAGGTACATCAGATTGATGCGCGTTGCATCATTGAGACCTTTTTCGTGGATGAACAGCGTGTTGTTTCAGGAGTTGAGACCTGATGTTGTAATATGTTGTAATATCATCCATGCTGATCGTCCACAAACAGCTAGTGGACCAACATTATTGAGCAGGGCAGATTGGAGAGTCTCAGACATGTCCGTCTAGTCGCATATAACGTCTTGTTTTAGGGTTTTCCGATTGGCCGTTGGCGAAACTTGGGGTCTTCCCAAAGGAATTCCCACTAGTACTAGGACCCAAGCGTTGCGAACGGGCATCCCTTCCATTTAAAGCACCCCCTTGGCTGAGGCGGAGACTTGCCCAGCAGGCCGTCCATGCCTCACCAATTACTAAAGCTGGATCGTCAATCCACCTCCACTTCTGTCAGATGATAGAGTCCGTTACAGTTTCATATGTTTCATGATGGGTGTGCCATGGTGTGCCTGTCCTCACTTGAAACTCCATTGACACTGTAGATGTAAATAGTGAGTGGATCAAGATGCAAGGCCCAAGGACTGTGAGACCGTGTGCCATATCGGTTCCACCATGGGCATAGCTTGTCAGGCTTCCCTGGGAAGATTTGAGGCCACATGTGGCCAACAAATTGTATCTGCTACTCCCAAGGTCAGAGAAGATAAAGCCAGCAATCAGGAGAAGCAACTTCTAGAGTTGTTTTGCTGACATGTTCTTCATGGACAATTTAGAACCCAAGTAGGTACAGTACATTTGGATATCCTTGATGATATTGCATATCCTCGTCATCACCCATGTACCGATGTTTTCTTCTTCAGTGCCTTTCTGGGGTTCAGGACTACATCCAAATGGTTGGGATTCGTTGCCCCAGTTCTGATTTTTCTCTGGACTCATTTAGGCATCGACTGACCCAGGGATGCGCTTTCTGAAACAAAGCAGTCATATCCTTTCCGGCCTCGGCTGGACGCGGGAGCGTCCAAAATGGGCTGGAAAGTTTCGGAAGACCAACCTGCATATGGTCTAATCAGTCTAATCATCTAATCCCTGCGGTGCCCGGTTCAATGACCTTTGTAGACCAGGATGACGAAAAGACTTTACAGAGTTACGTTGAATCCTGAAAATGACTGCAAAGTTGATCAAAGCGCTCCCAGGTGATTGTGTCAAATTGCATTGGGACTTGTATCCAGATCAAGCTGCCAGATCATGACTTGACAGATTTGAATGGAAGGTTCTGGAAATCCTCAACATAGACCACTGAGGACAATTTGGGGCGCACAGTTTGGAGAAACCACGGAATCCTCTCAAAGACTGTTTAAATCAGGTGCCTGGTCAAACCAAACAATGCTATCTCGGTTTGAACCATGGTCAGAATATGTCAGAATTATTGCCAAAGACTTTAGGAGGCTGGGTCAACATGTTCATTTGAGCATCCCATCCCGCTGCATCCGCTGCACCCAGAAAAAGCCCACCAAAAAGCCCTTGTGTAATGATGCACCGAGCCACTCCTTGCATGATCTGCCGCTTGCCGCCCGGGTGAAAATCGATGTATAAGGTGATCTCAATCCGTGCAGATAGCCGCAGGAAGGAAACATGAAAAACTTGAGAGTCAGCCAGGTGTCCTGAATATTTTATTGAGTCCCCTCAAGAAAATGTGTTAACAAAGATATTTTGAAAGAAGTGAACAAAAGCACACCCGATCATGTTTCAAACCTGATTGAAGGAATTAGTCAACCTTCTTCGTCACAGGATTGACTGAGTTTGGCACGTCGTATACACGGCCTTGGAAAATGGTCCAACAATCACCAGCTTTGGAATGCCTCAGTCGCCACGAGTAGGTACCCCCAATGGCATTGCAGGAGCCAACAATTTTGGATTTCGGTCTGCGTCTTCAAGCGTCTGCAGGCGCATTTCCAGAATGATCGGCAAAACACATATCATCACAATTCATCACATATCTTACCTTCAACGAACAAAAAAAACTTCTCGCAGCTTGCTAAGCTCAAAGAACCAAGATACTTTGCCACCTCTTCTTCAGTCAGCAACGTGCCCTCTGGCAGAGGTGCCTCCACACGCCGGAGCGACCAATGTGGATGCGGAATACTTTTTAGGATACCGCAAATGGAGTTTGAGTGAGATCCCATGATTTTTTTGCAACTAGTTGGTGTACACATGTCTGTATATATACTGAAGATTACTAAAGTGGGTAAAAGTGCCAGTTTTCACCGACCAAACGCTGCTCCAAAGTCATGCCCAGCTGCACCTTGGAGTTCTTGTTGCCTTCCAGCATCTGAAGAAATTGAAGCTGCGTGCCACCAGCCCTGCTGAAGTGAACGCGGGTCCATCCGTTTGGCAGGGGGAAAACGGTTCACCGACTTCTACACAACTTTCTACAATCATATGCAACTATATTGGATCAGCAAAGTAGCTTGTGAACACGTGTCAGACCGAGTCTCGACTCCATCTGCAAAATGAATCAAAATTATATACTGTATATAGTCATACTGGTCAATTCAATTTGGTGAATGCACCGCAAAATTGTTCAGTTTCTTTTGGGACCATTATGGGAAAACATTGCGAGCGTCACAACCCTCTGGCGGCCACAAAAGACAGCTGCGTGGTGAATGGGACAAGAAGTGCAGGTGGAGGATTTGAACTAACAGCACCTGATGTGGTTGCTACTGGATTATTTGGGATTACTTCAGTTTTGTTGGAGGTCTCATATAAGCAGACATCAAGATTGTGAATATTGTGAATAGTGTGAATTCTTTGGGGATGATGAGTCTGTACTGTTCAGGTGAAAACGACGACGCATTATTTCTTGTCCAAGTCCTTAAACCCACAGCCCACCTCTGAAATTTGCCGCTTGGTTTCTGTCTTTCTGGCACTGACAGCCGTCCAGATGCACCTTTTCGGAGCAACATGGCCGTCTCGGAGGGAAAACTCATTGGTTTCACTGCGCAATTTGGCGAAGTTGTGGGTCATCACTAGTCATCGTCATGCCTTGTTTTATGACTGGCGATGGAGCATCCAAATTCCGGTGAACTGGTCAAGTCCGCTGTGTGGCCCCTCGCATGCTCAAAATGAGCCTTCAACATGGGACCAAGGAGTGAGTTGTCTAGATCCCCATTAACATGTACGTACAAAAAGAGCAGCCTTCGGACTCCTGTTGTTTGAGTCTTGGAGGTGTTTCTATCTTGAACCATAACAAAATAACATGTTGGTAAGGGTATCGTGAAGAGTTTAAAGGCTGTGAGGGGGTCAGATGTACGGGTGCTAGTGAACAAATAAACACAGGTCACAGTTGCACACGCTCATACAATCATGCGGAGTCGGAAGCCAGAAATCAGAGAAGCGAACAAAGCATTTAGGATAATGGTAAACATGTTTTGGTTGGATGCATGTAGGATTTCTGTGGAATTCTAGGTTTGCCAGTCAAAACTATCACAATGGAAGGATATTGAGCATATTGGAGCATCATCCTTCCCTGCAGGCCGTGCCTGACGGCGCCTGAGCTGCTTGCTTCGGCTGTTCCAGGTCTTGTGCGACAGCTTCCTGAGGCCCAGAGGCTGTACCACGAATTGGTTGGGTCCCGCTTTGGACATCCTGTGAAAGAACATGTTGCAAAAGGATGCAACAGGATTGTGCGTTATATCACAATATCTACTTGCAAATTTCAACAAACAAAGGGCACGGACCTCCGCGAAGCCAAATCGTTGCATGTGGTTCATATTTTAGTATATATTATCTATTTTTATCTGGTATCTGTCAAAGGCAACTGCGAGTTTTGTGCCCAGCAAGCCTCCCGCAGCATTGCGAGTGGCGCTGGCAGTTTCGCTCTTGGGACCTCAGCCGATCCCAAATTGTACTGCATTCACCAAAGGAAAGTACGAAATGACAAAGGTGGCCAAGAACACCAATCTGTGTTTCTATCAGAATAGTGATTTGAACTGATTTGAAACGTTTGAAAGCCACAACTGGCTGCGCTTACAGCCTTACAGCGCAAATGAGAAAGTAGTTCTATCTCTGGTCCTTCTACGTTGGATGTAGAATCAACGTATTGTTGTAGTTTCTGTCCGATTGTTTGTCCACTTGTTCTGAATTCTCAACATTTCTTGACATACAGCAAGCAGCGAGTCCTCAATTTTTTGTAGCCAATGGTGGATATTTCTCACAAGGATCAGTGCCCTTCACAAAGACATGCAAAATGGTGCAAAGGCTCAAATTGACTAATGTTGGAAGATCTTGTAATTCCAGGCTGATTTGCGGCATCACCAACAACCTGTCCCTGAAACAACGATGGCATGGCTAAAAGAACAAATCAATCATTCACCGCCACCTGAGTACCCCCGCAATGCGGAAGCGATTTTGCGCCTCTGGACAGCTTCTCTCAAAGACCTTAGGCAAATAGACATCTCAGAATCTCAGGCAAGTTTTCAAGATTTCAAGATCTATGAAGTCAAAACCATAAAAGTTGCAAAAATAAAACCTAGAATCACAATGAATCACATCTCACAGGCGGCAAGGACTTAAGGAATTCTTGCAGCATGAGGCAGTGCTTCTCCACAAAGCCCCTCATGAGGATCATCCACAAGTCACTTCTCCGGCGAAGCGGCGTCTCTCGGCGTAACTCGCTTTGGCGGATCAGTGTCCTCAGATCTACGACAATCCCCAGGAGAAATTCAGGAGAACGGGATGACAAAGTCATGGCAACGGAACAGTAGCTGCTGCATGGGAAACAGCACCAACCAAACCATCTGAGCCTTGCGTGTGGCATGAAGAATCTGAGCCTCTGTCGGTCAGAATATCTAAGTTGCTCAGCTCGGTCGCACCTGCCAGCGATTCAATGGATGGAAGGTTTTGTTCCACAAATCAACAACAGACTGAGTGCAGAGTTGAAGTGCTCACCACTGAAACCAAGACATGGCTTTCACGTCAATATCTTTTTCACATCCTATTCCGACATGTATACGTATAGCTCAAGTATGCTCAAGTGACACAAAAAATGATTTAGATTCATATCTTAATTCTACCTAGTTTGTCGTATGGCATCAAGATCCAAACCCCCTCGCCAACCCTGCAGTGCAGTAGCCTGTTAGGTGCCGAACTGCCTCGGTTTGGTAGGTTTGGTGAAGGTCATGCTGTGGATATAACATGATATAACATGATATAACAAGGCACTTAAATTGGAAGTCAATGGTCTAAAAAGCTTTATTTTTAGAGTAGGGAATTCACCAACTTGGCGTTATGACTTGGTGATACTTGGTGCAGATCGATGGGACGAGGGTAGCTTAGTGCAAACTGATTTTTCAGGGTAGGCCATTGGCCATCAATTTTAGTGTCGAATGTGTCAACATCACTAGACATCGGTTGAAGCCCATTAAAAAATCACAAAAAAACAGCTATTTTGTGTTTTTCCACAATCTCTTGTCCGAGCTGTTTTGTTTGCAAGTTTCAAGATGATACCATTGTGGTCGTGGTGCAACTGTCCACAACTTGGAGGAAAGTTTGGAGCCTTCAATAATTTCAGCTGGAAGAGATTCTCTGTAACTCCTGCCAAACGTCTACAAGAATTTGAAATAACCCCTGTCAATCCCTAGTATCCAACGTTCCTCTTCGGAAATCATCAGAAATCTCTCTCCTAGGTCTATCATGATCTATCATGCATAAATAAAATGTATCATAATCTATGAGGATGTATCCATGTGATAATTATGTATAATCTATCATTATCTATTATGATATATCATTATTATTTTATATATACGTGTATAATAATATATACTAATACTGTAATCTATTATAATGTCCATCAAACAAAAAAAATGTAATATATAGTCACTATACATTGAGATGGTAATTTGACCACAAGGGGTGATTAAGTGATCTCATAATTTGACATAATAATCTATCATGATCTATCATAGACTTGGATCAAAATGATTCTGGAGTGATTCTTATAGATTACTATAGTAATTATGACCTATAATGACTTATCATATTATGTCCTATAATGATCTATGATAATCTATCATAATCTATGATACCTTCTGGTAAACATTTACATAACTATGGAAAGTCACCATGCTATCAATGGGTAAATCCACTATTTCTATGGTCATTTTCAATTGCTATGTTAAATTACCAGAGGGTTATCTGTCAATGACATCCATATCTTCGTCATTTCGAGGGCTTCACCTTGGACCCCCCACTGCTCTGAGTTCCTCTCCGAACTGTCGTGCTGGTGTCTTGTCGGCCCAGCCAAATACAGCGGCCTGCGTGAGCATTGTAGCCGGTTAATATAGATATAGATATAGATATATATATATATATAGTATGTGGATCTCTATATATATATAATAGTCATGCAACTGGGGTCCATGGTGAACCCTTGGGTCATTCTACACTCATGATCTATGGAGAATAGCATAGAATAGCTATATTTGATATCATGAATCATCATGAATCAATATGAATCAATATGAATCATCATATTTAGAAGTTATAGAAGCATTCAAAGAGTGAATTCCAGTTTTTTGCAACGGAGTCAACAACCAAAAAGTGTTCAAGGTTTAGGAATCAAGTACTGACTGGTCATGCGTAGAGAAACCAGCATGATTCATGTAACATGCAAGTGTGGGCCAGCGGGCCAATCCCTAAACTCTAGCCTTCGTCAGTCAAAATGATTTCTGGAACAGCTGGTTTTGAATCCCATAACCCCAGTCATCCCATAATTAGTCAATGGGAAGGATTGTCCCATATACTATGGAAAATAGAAAATGTTTGAAACCACCAACCAGATTACAATTAGCCGATATTCATCGGCTATGACCTTCTCCTCAAACAGGATTGTCACATTGACTGGACTGCCTGTCATGGGCAAACAGAGGCAACAAGGAGAGAAGGCCAGGTGGGTTTCCTCCTGTTGTGGCTTTACCTGGTCAACTCCCTACGCAGTTTGCACTGGAGGTTCATCCACTTGCAGATGTGCAGGGGAGAATGGATCAGACATGTCTTCCCATGTCTTCCCCATTCACGTAACTCAACGTTGGGTAAAAAATCAAGGTCCCATCAACTCTGTTGGTGCTAGAAAAACCCTGCACCCAGTGGATCCAGTGGCCACACCTACACTCAGGGATGGAGCGGACAAGGCTTTGCCATACCTCTGTCCACCAAGAATGGCAGAAGACAATGACCCGGTCGCTATGCTTGGATCATCTTGGATCATCTTGGATCATCTTCAGTCATAAAATCTCAAGAGTCATTGTCTGACTGCTCAAGCTGATCCCTGTGGTGAGTTGAGGTGTATCTGAGGGTCTAGCTCTCGTTTTGAGTCGGATCGTGTGGATAAGGTGGCAGCTATTGGACCCGTCATGGCTGTGGCGAAGCTACACTTGAATTGCTCAGTTCATGTTTATATCTGCTCATCTACTCCAGCCGTGAAGTAGGGAGAATGTCAACACTTGGAGTGCTGATGGTATCTTGCTGACGAATCTTCAACGACTTTCAAAGGTTCTCAGACAAAGCGCACAGAAGAGGCAGTCTTTGCCTCTTTGCGCTCTGAATTAATGGCTCCTAATGCCCTGATGAATCTGTGCTGTTATGGTCAATGGCTCTTCATGTCTTTTCCCCATACATTCTCGAGATTCGTCTTTGGGGAGTCCGAATTCATTGCTTGCAAATTCAACGTGAAAGTTGCCTGGCCATCATGAAACCCTTCGCCTTCCCCTAAACTCGAATCATACAATGAATTGAATGTAATATTCGAAGCTGAAGCCAAGTGCACAAAGTGCAAGCAATGTCGAAGTGAATGTCACGATGAGTTTGGCCGTGCTGTGAAAAAACACGTAAAAGAGCACGGGTTCAAATTCGTTCAATGTTCTTTCTTTAAGGACACACGTGGGATGATAAATAATTACACGGTGTGAGCACAGCACAGCCACTCTGGAAAGGGTTTCACAGGTACCACCGGCATCGGCAAGAGGTCGAATACACGTGGTGCCAACATGTGCCAACCATTATTCACATTGACACTTCTTGCTATCACATGGCGGTGGGTTGAAACATGTTGAAACTCATTATGTTTGGGGATCGTTCGGATATGTTCGGATGTACATCTACCATCATCTACCATCCAGGCCTAGTTTTTTGGGCGGTGGATGTTTCACTTGATCCAAACCCAGCATCCAACGGCACAGCAAACCCAACACGGCATGCCTTCCGGGTGCAGCGTGGAAGAGCTGGGTAATAGACCTGACCAACGTCCTGCCGATGCAGGTGGGAAGTCTTCAAAAAAACAACGCAGAACATCAAAATCACAGAGAATTATGTCATGCTGGAAATCTCTGGAAATCTCTGGAAAAAATCATCTGTGGATATCTTGGGATGCTAGGGCCTATTTAAGGCATGTCTGTCACCCCTTTTTTTTTAAGCACCAATAAGTGCTGTATTGGGATGCTAGGCATGTCATGGCATGTCTGTCACCCCATATTTATTGCGCACCAATACAGCAAGGTATTGAGTATTGACCACACTGGCTGCCTGTCTGCCCACCTCATCTCCTAAGATGTAGAAGTACTCGGCACCAGATTCACCGATGGTGATCTCGGCAGCAAACCTGCAAGTGCTGACTGGCTTCAATGCTTAGGCTGCATCCTAAAAGTAAATGTCCACATTATCTACAAAAACACACATTTAAAAAAAAAAAAAAAATTGTATACCTGAGCTGAAGGCATTGATTTTGGAATCCTCTGCTGTTGTCAGTAACTTTCTGTGACAGTAAAAAAACCCTGACCTATCAGCACTAAAATTATACCAAAAAATCCGCCCACAGTCCATTTCACCGGTGAAAATCCATGGGAAACATAAAGTGGGCAATCAGCTGAGAACCCCGCAGCCCATGAAGTCCGGGCACTTCCGCCATGGGACTGCAGCTCCAACCTCAATCGAAACCCATTTGGAAATCCTCTGATCGTTTAGGCTTCTGTGGGTTTGCACTTGACATAATGTATATATATTGTATATATATATATTATATTATATATCATATTATATATCATATTATATATCATATTATATATCATATTATATATCATATCATATATCATATTATATATCATATTATATATCATATTATATATCATATGTCATTCTATGATATATGCAATGTACGAAAGTATTGAATAGTTCTGCAGATATCTTTCAAACCATACCAACTGGCTGGCTCCATGGATGGGCCGCCCATGAAAGAAAGCGAAGCCATCGCTCTGAAGGGTCAGTGATTTATTGGGATCTGGGCTATTGAAGCTCCCGGCGATGCCAAACCTGGGGGTGGCTATGTGGGCAGAGTCTGTGAAATCTGTGAAGAACTGTTGAACGTTCCCGGCAAGCACAACTGACCCGTAGCCTCTCATGTGCTTTTGGATCTGGAGGTGTGTCTACAACTTCACGCCACACCTGGGTTCGATCTTGCAGCTTGACTCCTTGACTCTGCCATGGACCTTTTTTTGGAAATGCAAAAAGATGCAAACAGATTTAATCGTACAGATGGAAGCTGCAAAACCATGGTTGCCTCGTGTGCGTTTAGCAATTTTGCATCATTCTGCATCATTCTGCTATCTATTGCTATCTGTTGGCTACTGCTTCGACTCCCTTAAGCCACTGACCACCTTGCCGCTTAAGTCGACCTCCACCTCGTACAGCTTGCCAATTTTGTCCTTCACCAGGAGCACAAGCCGGACCCTGAACTCTTCAGCCGGTTGGATGACATCTGTGTGCACGAAACAGAGCTCACAAAGGTATGCCTGGCACTTTGGAAATCAGCAACTAATGTAAGTAACTAATACACTGAATATACACTGACTGCATGATGAACTAGCCAGGTTGATTTTAGCGTAGAACGTCGTAGACTTTTGGACTTTACATGGAAAATCGCCGGAAGAAAAATGTGCAGCAAATAATGTCCGTTAGGCATTCCCCTCGGTCATCCCAGTCCTCGCCCAGAGGAGCTCCGTTGCTGTCCCAATCCTTGCAAAGTGGGGACTTTAAACAAACATCTCAAGCATAAAATGCATAAAGGATTTGCGTATGAGATGGCAAGCTTGCAAGAGATCAATCATGAATCATATTGAAATAACCTGCTTGCGACAAGCTCAGGAGCTCCGCAAAAGTGATTGATTGGCTTGCCCGCTTGCAATAGTTCATAATAGTTCTCGTGCTTTACTTCTGGACATACAATGAATAGTCAATGAATTACAATGACATACGCTTTACATCACTTTGCGGTGCAGGGAAATTCTCACCACCTCCCGCGCCTCGGGATTGTGACTGCCTTTGATGATCTCAGGTGCTCCAGCCTGCACAGAGCCCCACCACTGTCTGTTTGAAGGTTGTTTCAAGGGATGTCTTTTGGTGATTTGTTGAAAATGTTGAAAAGTCACCAAGAAAATCCAAGAAATCACACTTCTTCGCGGTCTGCCTCGACACTACCTTGACTTACCGACTGTCGCGGAAATCTTTCAAGATTCCAGGAATAAACCTGACCTTTAGTTGCCCTGTTCAAACAATCGACCAATCACCCCAAAGCCAAACCACAGCACAGCGCAGCTCATTTCACGACTCATGACCAGCATCGGTGAGATCAGATTGCCAGCTCTCAACTTCAGCTGGTTCTGTTTCGCTGGACACCTGCATCGTTTGGTCGTTGCCCGCAGCCTTTCGCCCCAGCGACCAGAGGTACACCATCTTGTCTTCGTCGGTCTTCAGTTCTGCCCATTCAAAATATGGCACCGGGATACAAACATGTCCCTCCAGTTCCAAGACTTTCTGATGCATCTTGCTATACGCAGTTCGCTGAGTGGTCCCGGCATAATAGCCATAGGGCCCGATAGGGCACACCACTGCCTTGCTGACGGGCAGCCAGATATCCAAGACTTGGTCGTCCACCAACGGCTTCAACTCAGCCTTGATGTCCATCTTCCGAAGAGTTCGCCGCACTTCAGCCATCCACCCTGTGTTTGGAAGAAAAACGATACAGTTGTTACAGTAGTACTCGAAATTGGAGATGCCCTTCCACCCACGGTTTCCAAACTATCAAATAAATAGGTTTCGATGTAGTGGTTCAGAAACAACCAGAAGGTTTGAGGTACGCCACGCTTTCGCCTTGACTATTGTACAATGCATTGTTTCTGCCACTGGGGTTTTTGAATCCATTGCGAAGAAAAGCCAACAAAGGGCACGCACACAAAAACTATGACAATCCAGATTTGGAGCTCCAACTACCCATAACTGCGTCAGTTGAAAATTCAACGCCAACTTCCGATGAACATGAAATGAAGATGAACAAGACTAATAGGGCCTACAAATGCCTTACTAGGTATTAGTACAATGGCAATCTTCAGCTTTAACACATCCACAAACTATCCCCAGTCAGCTTCCAGTCAGCTGCCAAGAAACGAGATTCGAAGGTCTTCACCTGAGATGTGACTGGCCCGCGACACTGGAAGGGATCGGAAGTCACCCTGAACGGTGGGAAAATCTGGGAATTTTGGTGTCCGAAACTTGGGACCCGCCCATCGGATCCAACATTGGATGATTTTTGGATGAGAACGGCTACGCCCAGTGGCATCCACCTGGGCATTTTGAAAGATATGCAGCGCCTCTCGATTCTCACGGCTGAGTTTCCTCCATGCCTGTGGGTGGAGGTGTCGAAATGCAAGGCTACTAGGCTTCAGGACGCGTTTCTGGTAGTCCTCAGCACATCAAAATGAGTTCAATCAAAACCAGGGGTCTGGGATGAGAGTGGTTGCTCTGTATAGTCTTGGTTTCATAATACTATGGCTATTCGGGGGCCACTCTGTGCAGGGGGAATCCAGGGTGTTGATGGCTGTTATGTGGAAGATGGGAAGAGTGGAACTGATAGACCGAGAGAGCCCCAAACCATGAACTCAGACTTGGAACATGAAGTCTCAAATTTCATGACCAGGGCGAGCGGTTTCGTCAAATCGAGCATGACGTAAGGGTAGACAAACACTTGACATTCGTCAAATTGGCAAATGAGAATCACCAGGTTCCATCCAGGTTCCATCAGAGCATCTGACATCTCATCCTTGGACCATTGCAGCAGTGTCAACATCTTTTCTGCGACTTCATCCGTGGTGCCAACTAAAACGATCCTCAGTGAACAGGGATCGTTTAGGTGTCAAAAGTCAGGACCAAGAGGAAGATGCTTCACCAAAGCGAAGGCAACATCGGAGTCTCCTTGACATCAAAATACATCAAATATATTTCAGAGATTGGTGATTAAATATGGATATGGAGGGCTCTGAGAAGATGGATATGCAATTCTAGATTCTAAATGTTATTCTCACCATCAAGCCAACCAATAGAACCATTTGGCAGTGTCAATCTCTTGGAAGTCCTTCCTGTGTGATGATTCCTGCTTAGTTTCTTCTAGTCTATCATATCCAACCAAGCATGTCAAGATATGCCGAAGTCTGTGACTTTAAGTCCATCCTGCTTGCAATTCACAAATTGGGTGGCTCAAACTCCTGGAAATAACATGGAATACCTGTTCACCATCTGCACCAATGGTCACAAAAAAAAGAAAAACCGTTGGACAAGTCGCAATGAACGGAAGAGGAGCACGAGCGCTTGAACATCAAACACATCTAACCTGGACGAGTTGATCACCAGATCCAATCCAAAACATCCAAAACATCCAAAACACAAAACGGGAACTGAGCGAAACAGTTCAACCACTATAACCATCTGTAACCAGCACAGCCTTTGCAGATTTTTGCAGTGGATCATGAACTTCAAATTCTGTGATCCGATCCACTTTAGGAATCGGCATCAAGACCATTCAAGACCTCTGAAATAGGCCCATGATATGCTGCCTGCATGTGTCTCTACATCTGTGGTGTGTTGGACACAAACAAAGGTGATGATGCGCTCATTGCGATGTGACGAATTTATGTTGCCTAACGACATCAACTTGCAGGACAAGTAGGTTGTCCGTGAAACTGTGGAACTTTATCTAACTGTTGTTGGTGTCTTAAAATTCAGATTGACAAAAACACCTGCTTTTGGACGATGCGACCCAAGATGAAGTCAATATGACCTGAATCAAAGACAATCAAAGCACCAAGGAACTCCTGCAAGTACCGTGAGGCACGGTACTTTGGCCCAAGTTCCAGTGCGCGGTCCAATTTCACCAGCACGGCATCCTCGAGGGATTTCGAGAGCTTCGCGTGGTTGTAATCCAACTTGGCAAAGGCATTCAGAAGCGTGGCCAAGGTCTCTTGATTGAAGAGATTTCCTGGGAAACTCAGCAGTCTTCAACATGTTCACAAATGGATCATGATTTGATATTATTTGTTTTGTTGATTGACCAGCAGAGATCAGTGAAGGCGCATAAAGTTTATCGGAACAGCTGCAAATTCTTGTAGTGTGCCACCCTCTTTCGTTCTGGTGCAGATAGCCCCCCAGACAATCCATGTCACCGTCCACATCTCAGATCAGACGAGGATCTTTGCGCGCAGCGGTGACACATCTTCGCCAGCATCCGCAGAGATTGCTCGTCGCGACGATCTACTCGTGCCATGGCACTCACAACCAGGAACAGCTCCAAAGGGCTCATGGTCCAAACCAAACCTAAAGCCGTGTGGCACTGGCAGTGCTAAGTCTTGAAGGGCGTGAAAACAAAGCAGTTGAATATGATGATTCAGTAGAAGGCGTGGCAAGGTGAAGTGCCACGGTGTTCACAAAACTTTTGCCCCGAAGCATTGCTTGAACCCTGGTGACTGAGAAATAGAAAGGTAGCATTAGAGCCGAGGTGTCACAGCATGTCACAGCTAGGCGTGGGAAGGCAATTGTGCCAGTGAATTGGGCTCCCTTGTCGTCGAGGGATCAGATTTCAAATATTTCAACCCAGTGTCCAGCAGATCCAATTTCAAATCCATCCGAGAGACGCATTAGCGACATTGAGGCTTGCCGCCAGAAGCGCGGGCGGTAGATGTGAAAATGTGCTACCGCATTGCAGGTCAGTGCAAGAATTTGCCCCGTCCATTCCTCCTTCCGCTGACAGATGATGCTGACCAGCAGGTGAATGCTATCGGTTCTCTCCTGAATGTCGCTGAATGCCCAACTGGGTCCAAACCAAGAAAAGCAAAACAACATAATTCATTGGCCCTTCCAGTGGCAGGTGGTGTTTGATGCAATGCGACACAGAAAAGCTGGAACCCTGCGAACCCTTGTCCCCCTGCCCAGTGTCATACTCCAGCCGTTTATGCGCGTTCAAGATCAGCGCAAGCTCATGAGTACCAAAGGCATCAATGTGTCTGAGAATGAATGGTGACAGGGCATCCAGGGCTCTCCGGTCCTTCCAAGCGAAGGACCATGTACAATCAAGGCCACAGGAGCAATACTCGAAATTTGTGAATTGCAAACACCGGGTCAATATGGTCAATGACATGAACAATGATCACAATGATCAACAAGTGGAGAAAGCCATACAATCTCAAGCGAACACCAAAGGCCAGCAATCTCAAGTGACCACCAAAGATCACCAGCGATCCGAGTCTTGGGATCCTCAAATTGCCCCAACGTTGCATCGCCAAGGGTCTCGGTACTTGATCTTTGCAAAGGCCCGAAACATCAACGACACGTCCTTGGCCCCTCTCAGTGCACCTGCGCTTGCGGCGATTTTGGGACCCACTCAGCAGGAGCTACAGTCAGTGCTCTAACATGCTCTAATCAGCCTCAACTAACTACAATGGTTTCCCCACCGTGACTGAACCGTCTCCTTTGTAGAATTTGTATGTAAAGTTTGAAGTAGAAATCGTATGACTTGCACTGATAGTCAAATATCTGGGCAATTCATTTGAAGATTCCAACAATCCCTATTACATCCCTGCACATCCCTGCACATCCCTGCACATCCCTGCACCTTGTACAGTTGGTGTGTAGTTGTCTTGATAAGGACAGCATACTCAGTATGATGCATGGAGGAACTCTTCATGTCAAGAACAATCCCCAGTGCTCCGCCTGTCATAAGCACTTGCTGTGCAAAGCGAGCCCAGACTTCTTCGGCCCGGACGCCTTTGCGGGCACAGCGCCACATCCTCAGCAGTGAAACACTCACACCCCCTGAGAAAATGTTGGTTTAGCCGCAACAAGATCAGCAACAATGTATAGTTTTGTGCAAGTTTCTTTTTAGCCCAAAGGCCCACTGGCCTACAAAGATCTAAAAAGTACATAGATACAAGTATGAAGATATTGTGCAACGCTCCTTTATTGCCCAAAGACCTAAACAGTACATGATCCCAAAGAGTTGCTCGAATTTTAAAAATGTATATATATATATATACTAATATCATATATATATATGCATGTATATGTATATATATATATATTAATTATATATGCATATATATATATATACATATACAAATATAGTTTCTCATCCAGTCAAGCCAATCCAAGAATCCGCTTTGCCAGAGGCCCTCCCTCGGAACTTGGAGCAGTAGTCTCCTAGAAACACGGACCAGCCTCTTTGGGCTCTGTGATTGTACAGTATGTGACTTTGAAAACACGCTGGATATAGCTCGGATTCGAGAACCTCTAGCAACCTTCATTGAGTGGCTTCCCATGTCCACCGCGATGCGTTGGGTCCAGCTATCAATGTTTGCATACAGTACTCTGGCCTCACAATCCCATCCTCTCACACCATGATAGGCAGGATGATATGGTCAATGATATCACAGAATGAACTGTGATGAGTCTTAGGAAAAAAACACAATCCTTTGAACCCTTTGTTCTGTCGTTGCATGGTCCGTGCCATCCAGATCATCCAGTACAGTACCAAGACCCATTGGCCCATTACATTACAGCTAGGAAAGGTCAGAAAATCGCGTCCCTAACGTCCCTAACGTCCCTAACATCCTCTTCGATGAGATCTTCAGGCTGCGCACTTTCGATGAGATCCGCAGGTGGCGCTTCCCCATCTTGGGCCGAAAGGCTGGGCGTGAGCTCAGATCCACCCCTGCGATTTTTGCGGGGCACTGACCTGTGACTCGGCAGAACATCCAGCTCCTCAGGCAAACGCGGTGCTATCACCAGCAACTATCAATCTCACCAGCTACCACACCATTGCTGATATCTAGTTACTTAAAGTTACTTATATACATCTACATCATTTTTGAACTTCTGTGGAAAAAACTAAAACACAAAAATCTCACTGGCCATGCCGCAGTGGCTGTTGCCAGAGCCCGCTGACTGAAGCTGTCACGCAGTACCAAGCCCAGCGGACGAGCTGTGCAAGGCCTAGCCCCCAGACGTCCCAGATGTCGGAGCATCCAGAGCGGCCATGGCACCAAGAGAAACAAATTCTGTTTCTGTCCAACTTCAGGACTTCAGATATCTGTAAGATATCTAAGTTGGTTCTGGTGGTCACACTATGTCACACCTCCGGTGCTTTGAAGTTTCAGAAGGGGAATCACATTTTTTCAATTCCCTCATGATTTTTTACGCTTTTTTGGGTCTATTTGCTAAGACAACAGACTGCTTGGATCTGCTTGGATCTTGTCCGACCTGTCCCTCATGGAATTCATCTCCTCTATGTTGGCCCGAGCCGCAGCGGCTCGGCGCATCAAACCGCCTTCTCCATAGATTCCATAGGATTCCATAGGCACATCTCGAAAAGTCCATTTCTTTAGGTCGCGATATACGTCAGACATGTCTCAGCATGTCTGAGGATGTCCAGAGTGTTGAGAAAACAAGCGAGTATCCAACATTACCCAAAAAAAATGCTGGTGTTCGCTCTGGAGATTAGGGGTCTATGAAATGAAGTGTTGTGTTGTTGGGGATACCTTCCAGTCCCTCAGAGGTTTAAGGAAACGTACCAAGCTATGTAGTGCCACTCATGGGATAATGTTGATCTATTGTGGGCATGCTTGGACAGTACTGTAAAATGTCCTCAAATAATCCTGGAGACCAGCCGCCTACTCAACACAGGCTGAGTTTCACCGTTGCCAAACACTGCCGACGGAGAGAACATCATTCAAGCACATCAAAGCCAAAAGGAATGCACTTTCGGAAACTTTCGGGTAGAAGATCGTCCCAACTGGGACATCCTTTTTGCTATCTAGATATATAATATATATATATAATATATATAATATATATATAATATATATATATAATATATATATATGTAGTATGCCAATCTCCACATATTCAGATCCAGGATTTCCCTGCACCTGCATGATCTTCTGCATCATCAGACTCCTGTCACCAGAAAGTGCCGGGGATCTGGCCAACGGGGTGGAAACATCATCCAGTCTACAGTGGGTTGCTAGGAGGATTGAGGGATGTTAGAAACGCTGATTTTGGGCTGTCCAACGAAAACACTTGGGAGGAGTTGATCCTGGGTTGAAACTAGATTACTAGATGTTCATTTCTCAGCCAAATCTTCAGCACGAACGCCCAGCTCAAAATACTCAAATGTCCTGTAATCCTTCTTCGTAGTGTCTCGACTGGTGCAAACGTTCTGGGAGAAGGCCCTCAGCGCTAAGTAGACTAAGTAGACTCCGTCACTGCGCTGGACAGATCTGTGAAGTTGGTGGTTTTGCCACCTTGATGGTGTTCTGCATGTTTTGGGGGCCATTGGCTCGGTCTATCTCAGTCATAGTTTAGAGACCCCTCCAAAAGCTCTGGAAAAGGTCTGCATACTTCATACCATGCTCTCCCCTAAAGACCTGTCAAGTCCATGTGTGTAGCTGCACGATGAGCAACATCTGGGCGCATGGCATGGCATGGGCATTGGTGCCACCAAAGCCAAAGGAGCTCACCTTGGCAAAATCAAAACAATGAGCCAAAAGGCGTATCTGATTTGAAAATCGCACATATAAATACTACGTATATAAACATCTGGAAAAAAAAACTCCGAGATAATGCCTCAACATGCCTCAACCACCAACCTCCTGCTTCAGCCTGACTCTTGTCTGGGTTCCCTGTGGTGCAGGATATGCCGCCAGTAAGGAGCACACACCGCTGACGCAGCTGTTGTAGTGGGTCGGACATCCCTCCGTCAAGAACTGGGCCGGAAATCCTGCCGAATGGGAAAAAAATCTCACGACTTGTCGCCTTTCACGGCCATCACATGAGGCATTCTAAAAATTTCTAAAACAGACAAATGCTGGTCAAATGCTGGTCATCGTGTGCCAATTTGTTGGAAGCCATCAAAACAAGTGAGCAACGCCGGTCAATTCGTTCAATTGAACAGTACTTCCTGTCTCAACTGGTTCATGTCCATTCCTCCCCAAGGTCCTTCAACATCAAGGTGAGGATTCATCTCGTTCAGGTGAATGTTGGGACTTGATTCGCATCTCATGACCTCAACAGCGGCAGAATGATGCAGAAACCGCTGCAACGGAAAGGATTGGTAACGACTGGTAGTCAGTCACCCAAAATCACTGCTTGAATCAACCAACCATAATGTGGTACAATTCTATAATCCAGATCCAATTTGTTTGATTGAAGTGTTTGTGTCAAGACCCGTGAGCATGAAGTTAATGTCAAAAACGACCACAAAAATCAATCTCAAATCTCAAAAACTATCTCAAAACTGCCAAGACATAGAGGAATATGGTGGGATGAAAGCTTTTCTGACAGGGTGAGGCAACAGAAACGTGTCCCGCCTGCAAGACGACCTTGATGAATCCAGCCATTCCTGACATGACGAGCCATGTATAAAAGTAGCTACTGAGCTTTGCATCTTGGAGTTTCCCAATCAGTCATTTGGTGGCTGGGGATTTCCAAGATTTCCAAGCACCTAGCATAGCATTTAAGTAGCATGAATGCTATCGAAGTATCTGTGTATCAATCGAGCCGAGCTGCATTGAGGACTCGCCACAGGATGACTTTTTGCTCTCAGCCAGTTAATTTCCAACAGCCATCTAGGCCATTTATGGCCATTTAGGATCATTAGGCTTAGGCCAATCTTTAGGCATTTCCCTCAGGCGCAAAATCCTGCCTGCTCCTCCTTCCAGGTGACCCAGATTTGTTTTGGAACTGGTGACCTCACTCAGCAGCGTGACGGATCAAACGTAAAACACGTTTGAAGCCCCAGCTGTGGCCGACCGCTGCCAACAACGGACTCAGCTTCTCGCCAACAACGGCTGCACCCTTGGCACTTGCGCATAGATCCGCTTAAAAGCACCCACCTTGCACAGCACAAAAAACAACAGAAAACAACAAAATCGATAGATTTTAAGGGGCAACTGGATGAAGCTGGATGAAGCTGGATGAACAGAACTCCCAACAGTGATTTCAGATGCTTTAAGGATTCATCACTCCTTCGTTGATTTGCGCCTCGATCGGATCACCCAAGGCTGTCCCGGTGCCATGTGTTTCAAAGCCTCAAAACTTCGCTGCTTCGAAAGCTGGGATCGTTTGGCAGTCGAAAATGGCGGTAGAAAGTGGTCTAAATCTAAGTGTTGATCAGTGCTGGAACTCATGATTCATTTCAGAAACTTATAGCTGCTGCAAGTATTAGATGTATTAGTTATTATTAGTTGATGTAGAAATGCTGCATCACCTGAATCTGCGAGACCAAAACCAGGAGAATGAATCTTGTGGACCATTGCATTCAACAAAAATGCCCAGGAGCAGTCCACTTCAGCAGGTGAGTACTTTGCCTCGAGGCGCAATTCCAGGGGATGAAATATGATGAAAACAAATGAAAACAAATGAACATCCAGCTGTTTCGTGTATCCCAAATATCCCAAGAGTTGCCTGAAAGACCTTTGAAGTGAGCCCCTGGCCAACCCTTGGGTTGACGTATGTTGACGTCTGGCATCCCCCAAAGACTACCCGAATGCGCCTCTCGAAAGCATGCTTTAATGCACTTTTCCTGGTGTTGGCATCGACTGAAACTGTCACAAGGAATAATCAAACTTTGAGACAGGGAGACAATTAGAACTTCCACCAAATCACAAAGTACAACTCTTTTTTTTGCACCTTTGAACCTTACTTTGGAAGGAACAAAACTTCACAAAAGGTCCTTTTGTCATCTTTTCTGGTGCTTCACTAAGGCTTACTCTATGAGTTTGACCCCAGCGTCCTGCGAGGGGCCGTTCGGCGCTGTAATGCTGGCACTCTTCCCATCCTGGTTGGCCTCAGATGATCGTTGGGACGGGATGACCCTCTGAGTGCTGGAGAGGGGACTCTTGAATCATGCCCATTTGGGGATGGGTCAAAACCCTGGTACCTAGTGAACCCCAAAATAGCTGGGATTTATGGATGTTCATCCCACTAAAAATGTATCTATAGGTATTGACCCATACCCATTTCTATCTGACCTCTAATCTTTCGCCATCTCCAAAATTGTAGAGTTGAACTGCCATCGAAGGAAACAAAATACCAAGCAAGTCTGAAGCTCCTATCCTAGTTAGCAGATGCCATGCCGAGCATCTGGCCAATCACAAAAGAAATCCCTTCATTCAGCTGGGGAGTCCCACCTGACTTGCTGGCATGCTAGCAAACACCTTCGCGGCCGAAGTCCGAGATTGTTTTGGATTGGAGAGCAGCTTGTACTATCAAACCTGAACCTGAACGTGTGTGGGATCAAAGCTTTTTGCCTTTGGAAAGCCACACAGTGGTCCTCTGGGCAACAAGACAACAGGCATGATTACTAGATATTACTAGTCCTCCTTCATTCTGCTCTTCAGAATCATGCAAATGTCAAGGCCGCTGTTCAAACTGCAGAAAGAATATCCCTATCCATCCACCGGCCACCGGCGCAAAGCCTGATTGCTGTAGGGCTGGAGCTCCAAGTAGATGCCAGAAACACCCTGCAGGCATCAGCTCCCATCCCATGGGTTGTGAACCCCAGAAACCATGGGAAATGAATGTGATCAGTGAAGGCTCAACTCTTTCCGTACGCAACAAGACTTTGATTGTGTACATATCAATGTGCGTGGCTGTGTACGTCTCCACCAGTGTTGGATTCAACAGGCCAAGGTATAAACCTGAGTGCAAACAACCACTGTTCTTTTTTTTATTCAAAAGAAGCGACAGCAAGATAGGTTCACTGCCTCCCCTCTCAAATAGCCATCTGCAGACTTGTCGTAAGTGAAGCATCTGCCACGGAAGGAAAGCATTCCACCTGCAGTTTGCACCGTGGGCTATCCGCGGAGCATTCCAAAGTTGGGACCGGTGGGACCAGCTTGCAGCATGACATCTGGAGACCCAGTCATCTCAGTCTTCGGGTTGATACCCTAGTGACTCCTAGTGACTCCTAGTGACTCCTAGTGACTCCTAGTGACTCCTAGTGACTCCTAGTGACTCCTAGTGACTCCTAGTGACTCCTAGTGACTCCTAGTGACTCCTAGTGACTCCTAGTGACTCCTAGTGACTTAGTACCACTTAGTACTACTTAGTACCTCTACTAGGTTGCACCACCTCCAGTCATCCATCACTGATCTTGGAGGCAGACCGCTGCAGCAGGAGACGAAACCAAAGGGGCTGTAGGCCTCAAGGTCCGAAGCTCAAAGTGTTCACACTATATGAATCTATATGATTCATATGATTTGACAATATTTAACAGAAATACTTGAAGCAGTTGTTGTGGCCAAGCTGTTGAACTTCGTTGGTAAATCATGGCCAATCCTTTTAGGAGCGGACCAACTGAGTGCCGCAGCAGATGGAGCCGTCCAAGGGGTCAAAGTCCTGCAGGCTGCAGGAGAAACCGTTGGTCTGGATGCCCATGACAAGAAAGTAGGAAACAGGAGGAGAGATATGGAAGGATGACTTAAGAATGGTTACTAGAAAATATATTAAAATATTAGAAACATCTCTAGAATTCTCTAGACATTTCTCAAGTTCGGTACCCGCAAATCTACAAACCAAATCTAAGTAGTCTCTCCTAGTAGGGAAGGCAAGGCAGAACACTGCCCCATGACTATGATCATTTGCAAGTCGAAGCTTCACAAAGTAGCAATCTGTGACTGCAAAGAGCAAGAGGAAGCTCCCTATTGGTCGACAAAACATCCCTCTGCTTCATGAATCTCACAAAATGGCTGGCTCTGGTGGCTAGAACAAAACCCGATATCATCATTCATGAAGCAGGAAGTATGGACTTGTCTAGAGAACTGCCCTTGCAGCAGAAGCTAACGACATCACTGCTCGATGCATATCAGCAACTGATCCTTGTACTTCAAATACAACTTCCCAGTATGTGTTGCCTCAGGATGCTGCTCTTGACTCTGGAAAACCAAAGGCATGACCGCACTTAGATGTTGGGGCTCAAGAATGATAGCTCCTATTGAGTCAACTTAATCGTGTGGAAGCAACATTTAGATTAATAATATTTAGCTGAAAATGACCAACCAAATGTTGTCATTTAAAATTTACAAACAGAAACACTTGATGCTGATAAATCACAGCAAAACAGAATGCCTGTCTATCTGTCATTTGCAACAACGCACAAATAGGAATAGGTTCTACCATGGCAGTGACATGTGCCAAATCGCCAACATCGGATATTTTTTTTTCGGCCATGGGCGGTCTTTGATGGCCGGGTAGCGCTTGAATCTCTGGAAATACATGCAAGGAAGGGGCAAATGTAGGACCTTTTGCTTGGAAGGGATGAAGTCGGAAGCCTCAAAAAAGTGGTTTGTGGTGGCCGTGATGGCTTGTGCTTTGCCTAAAAATGGCCTAAAAGCATCCTTCCTCGAAGCGAAAGGATCCTCTGGTCCTGCCAGGGAGACGTCTTGCCTCACCGCATCTTCAGCCAGCACCAGGTTTCGGTGCAGCCATGGTATGTGCAAGTGACATCAAGTGACCAGGGCCTTTTCAAAGGCAAAGCTGAAAACCTTCTCAAAACCTTGGCCTCGAACATCACAAAGTATCCTGAAACCTACTTGACTTGACGGTATCCAGCACATTCCACCTCTGGAAACAACCTCCAGGACAGATTATGCACCAGCAGGGCCTGGTCGGATATCCAAGTATTCTTGGACCTTCGGATCATTTAGGTCCCACTCAGTTGGCATTGGCTGCGGATCACTCCGCCCACTCTTGGGTCCACCTTTGACCTCAGAGATGGGTTTCCAGGCGCCAACGCTTTCAGCCAGAATTTCCATGAACTGCAACTTTTCAGCCCTTGGGACCTCAGGGCCTGACCACTTCCCCGCGCTGAAAAAGGCCGCCGAAGGTGCTCTTATCTTCCATCTCCTGGGGCCGATGGTCACATGGATCATCCTTTGCTCCCTGAAGCCATGGGAATGTCCATGAGTCTGCCTTGTGATCCTTGTGGGTGTTTCATTGAGAAAATAAAAACAATCAAGATCAATTAGAATCATCTTCTCAAATAGGGCTGAAAATTAACGAGATGTAATTAGTAAATACATGTGATTATGTTAATTTACGCCTCCAGACCCTGTCAATTCTACTCCGGACCCGCACCTGTTTCTTCTTGTCAGCACGAAGCTTCGCCAGCAAATTTCTAACCTGGACGAGACATGCAAGTGGAAATAGAAAATCGACCACAACATGGAGCTTGGTTGGGAAAAAACACTTCTGCAATCCAACATGACTCCACAGTGGTGAGCCTGCAGAAAAAGGGATGAGCAAGGGGGAAAGAGCTAGCTCTTTAGGCAAATGCTTGTTGAGAAACACATCATGTTACATGTTGCTCCACAGCTTCCACAACTAGGATTTAGTTTTGGATGGATTTCGCGAGCACGCAACTAGACTCATCGGACTTTGCTGGAAAGGCCCAGAAACTGTTTGTTGATTCACATGAAACATATTCCATATAGTCATGCGGATGAAATCTCTACCATGCTCCGCATTCCCCTCTTGGCTTTATTCATTCCCCTATCACATGGAAACCATGCCGCTCCACACCTCCTTGTCTCCGGGTGCAAGTTTGGCTGCGGCTAGCAAGTCCTCGTCCGGTCTCGTGAAGGTGGGAGATCGCAAAATGTGAAAGTCCAACTGGAAAACGCAGCCATTCCAATGGCCCAATGACCGTCAATGAGTTTGTTTTTCAACAATGGAGGCAATAATCATCGTCATCATCAGCAGCAGCATCATCAGCAGCGTCATCATCATCACCACCATCACCATCATTCACAGTGCAATATCTATTGAGATCTGTTATCTGTTACCCTCTGGTAAACTATGGTAAACTAACATAGCTATTGAAAATGGCCATTTATAGTGGATTTTCCCATTTAAAATGGTGATTTTCCATAGTTATGTAAATGTTTACCAGAGGGTATCTGTTAAATATCTGTTGTCTGTTATCTAAGTACTCCTTTGGCTCTGGATGAAAACTGAACCAGCCATCCGGTGGCCTGTATTGCAGAGTCCCGATCCGCATCCACCGCCGAAGCAGGGCCAATCCGTGATTGTGCTCGGCGATAAAGAGCCTTGACCTTGGTTGAGGGAAACAGTGGACCCTTATAGTTGTCCATAGTTGTTCTATGGCGTTTCCAACCATGGCAGTTTGATGCAAGTTGCATCTTTCTCAAATATAGTTACTCACACCATCTGCAGATGGCTGGCCAAAATATGTTTTATATGTGCTAGAACACAAATCATATACAAAGATGTCCTTTACTGTGCATCAATCATATCATAAATCTGATTAAATCTGTAAAAATAACCTTCCAGGCATTGCTTGGTCAGGCAACAAAAACAGGGCGAGTCGCGCTCTCAGGATTCACCTTGGCCAGGACCTCATCACAGGCCTTCTTCATATCGTCAAACTTGCCTTGGGACGCTCTGGACGCGATTGCTATAGCTGCTATAGCATGCTGTATGGGCACCTCATGGACAAAAATTGGCGGATTTGATGTTGGGTGAGAAATGAGTGGTAAGCAAACTGGACATCCCAAAAAGATGCAATACCTGTAAGGCTTCACTGTAAGATATCTGTAAGATATCTGTAAGATTGTAAGATTAGATCATTCAGAACTCAGAAATACTCAGAAACACTTCGTGAATTTACCCATGACTCGAACAAAGGATTCGATACATTGCACGGCCCTTCAGGGTTTCAGCTCCCTTCAGGATTCTCGGAGCCAAGGAACCCAACTTCTGGGAAGCCAGCGCGATATTCCTTGCCAGGCCAAGCAGGGAAATCCTGAAACTCTACAGATCTCTACAGTACCAATTGAATCGTACGATATCCCAAATCTACCCATTCAGAAACACAATCAGAATATTAAAATTGAATGAACGACCATGAAATACCATAAAATACCATGAAATATCATGAAATGCCTCCAATCTGTGCCATGCCAAGGCGCAAGTAGCAGGACGTAACCAGCTCTTTGGCTTCCTTGGCCTCGGGGCCCTGTAGCGCCGTCTCGTCCACACGCAGGAAATCGTCCTCAATGCCCTGCCATGGATGGGCCTATTGCAATCCTTGCGGACCCATTGGTTTCATCCTTGAGGCCGAAAATCTGGTGGCTTATTTAACAAGTTAACAAGCATGATGATGATGATGATGATGATGATGATGATGATGATGATGATGATGATGATGATGATGATTGTAGATGGATGTAGATGGATGTAGATGGATGTAGAGGGACGATTCTTTCTGGGATCATCACATGTCGCAAGCCCAATGGGTACTTGTCCTTGTGATAAAGAGCAAGGAAGCAAACGGTTTGGGTTGAAACGTCTGCCTATATATATATATATAGACATATAGATCCTAGTGACCTAGTGAAACCGGACATGCGGCTGTTTATGCTACCACAGAATTTGGGTACTGAAGCAAGGGTGGATAGTTCACAAATGTTCAGAGGTTGAATGAAACCAAAGACGAAAACGAAGAGAATGGCTAAACAAACAGTGACGGTCATACTGTGGAAACTATGCCTGTTGAACTGTCAGCTTCCGGAATCCAACGATTTACTGAGTAATAAAAACTGCGCCCAGTGCCTTGTAGGAGCCATCATCATTTTTCCAGTTTGGCCGCGTGCACTCCACATATCCTCAGGCTCCAACTACTGACTAATCAGTAAGAAGGGTTCGTGTGGACCATACCAGGGATACCTGGTTCGTTGCTCTAGCTCACCTGACCAATAGTGGTCAGATGTAGTCAGTTCGCTTGTTGGGAGAGAGAGAAGATGGGGTGTAGTACTATGAGGGGAATCGTGCAATCCAGGCAAGAGCAAGTGTTTTTTGGAGAGTCTGGCCGGGTCACTCGGTCACTCCCAACACTTGCAACACCTGCTTGACCATGTGAATCAGTTGGGCTTCATCTTTCCAAAGTTTGCAAAGTCTGCACAATTCTGAAGCCACCACCCAGCAAAGAGATGGAGAGCCAAGTCACTGAGCAATCCAGCAGCCTTTTCATAGCGCTTCACGGCCTCTTCCAAGTTTTTATGCTCATCATCTTGGTCCAGGTCGTCCTCAAACCGCACCGTTGAAGGCTCATCTCAGAAGGGAAAATGTCGGGAAAAAGTAGAGGGCCTTCAATAAAATCGGATGCTGTCCAACCCGTCCGTGTTGACATATGTTGATATTCAATATCATATACCCTTGGCTATGTTGACCAACCAGTAAGTTAATGTACAAACCACGTGCGATCACAACGAGCAACAGGAATCTGAGGAACAACTTGTTACCACTTGTCCAGATATTCCCAGCGAAATTAAGTCCCACATCCCCCGGCCACTTCTCCTCTGCCACCATTTCGGCAGGGCGACTGACCTGTGCCTTCAGCCCAGCAAGTTCTTGTCGGAGCTCCTGGTGGCAATGCCGTGTCCAAGTGGCCTCCCAAATCCATTGGTTTCCCTACCAACATTGCCAACATTGAATTGGGACTTTTGGGGTCCACTTCGGACATTTCCTTGGAGGACAACACTTGAAGGCTGTCCTTCAGTTCTCTTTCCTTCTCCCAGATTGCAGTCTCCACACGCCTGGGCCGGAGTGATGTGAGTGACTCTGCACCTCCTTGTTAACCCATGGAATTTGTTTCGTTTCTTGACATATTCGTGGCCTTTTTCGTTTGGGCCTCCATTAATCAGCAAGACATGATATTCGAGATTTCAGCTTCTGGGGACCTTTGCTAACTCCATGCCCAGTCACAAGATGTCGTTGGCCAACTGGCTGGCTGGCTCTTGTTGGTAACCACCAGTCGGCGGCTTCCTGATGGAGTGCTGTCGAGGGTGTCTCAAAAAACAATGTCAAGCAGTAATAGCAGTAGCAATTCTTGTCTCAGCCTCAGCCTGATTCTGAGCCAACATCAAAGCGTGTCTTCCAAGAAGCTCTCTATCTGACGGCGTCTCCCTGTCTTGTCGACTCCAATTGAAAGAGTCCATGGAGTCCCTCTGCACAATTTCGGGGAAAAATTCGGGGAATGCACGCCTATGAAAAAAGTGTTCGAAGCAAAACAGCTATCCAAATATCCACCCCAATCATCCTAAAACTGCCTAAAAAGATGAAGCACCTTCTTTCCAATTTGCTTTACATTTTACTCCTCTTGTCCAATAAAACCTGCAGCCATGGTCAGCCCATGGTCGGCCCACCTGGCTGCGGTCAGCAGCTGATTCCCTTCGTCTTTCAGCTCCTTGGCATGAAGCAACTTCTCCGCCACGCTGCCCATCTGCCGCAGCTCCTGCACTCGCTTGTCCTGCGGTGTTACAATGACGAAGTGGGTAAACTGAGTGATCTCTATGGAAAAATCCATCGAATGATCAGCGTCAAACATCTAACGTCATCAAAAAAACAATGATTCTGAAAAAAATGGTAAGCTTTGGTCTATTGATGAATGACTGATCATCCCAAATGATTTCCAAGTGTTGAGTAATTGCCTTGATCCCCTTCCAAGCACCAAAAGCTCCATTGCTCAGTCAATTCCTAACCCGATCCGCAACCTGTTCCCCATGGAAGATGGTGTTCTGGAAGAGCGGCGGGAAACTGTTCCAGATCTGCATCTTGTATTGATCCTGTGCTGTGCGCATACCCACTGCATGGCGCAAAGGATCTTCCATGCTGCCGGATCCAAACTGTTTCCTTAGTGCAGCTCGGATGAACGTCTGGTCTGAAGAATCTATTTCAAGTGTCTTGCGTCCATGGAGCAGAGAGTCAAATCACGTGTCTACAAAAGTCCGCAAAATGGGCAACAACCAGATCAAAATCGTTTAGCAAAATGTTCCAATGCCTGCAGGCGCCAACGACGTAAAAACTCATCGCTCTCAGCTTTGTGAATTAGCACACGTTGCCACGACACTCTACGATTTGCAAGTGGGCTCAGGTGCTAACTCTGGAGCACCAGTTATACGAGGTACATGGTATTATGAGGTCATATCCCTGCAGAAAGATTGCCAGCTATTCCAACTCTGGGCCGAAGCGTCATGTCCAACTTGATCAAGCCAGGTCCATCATGCGGATTTTCCTCTTCGTCCATGGCTGCCAGCCCCCAGAAGAAAGGTGCAGCGTCAATTTGGGGAGGGTCAAAGTCCTGATTTAGCACTTGGAGGACAGCTGCAACATCACAATGGCAGAATGTGTCTGTCACGCCACTGTCTCGCTGCATTGAAAGTTCAAGATTGTTCTTGGTTTGGGAGTACATTTGGAAAAGGCTGTGTAAATGTTTGCGGAATGGTGTACCTGTACCTGTTACCTCCAACAAGACAAACAAACCCGGCAGAGCTGCAGAGCTTGATCCAGCTTCTTGCTCAGTTCTACCAGTAATTGTGTTGGATAATGTTGGATGCATGTATGTATGTATGCATATGTTAGATTACCTAGAAATTTTGAAAAACTATCTTTAGGATAGCAGATCCGATAACAATTACATGAGCCCTTGCCACCCCGTGTCATGGAAAATCTATAGGAGCATATCCACCTAACTCTCATACAGCCACCAGTGCCACGACAGCCGGAAAAAGAACTGCAGAAAAGATCGAACCCAAAGTTTTGGGAATGGTACTCTCAGCTGCGCCAGGATCTCGCATTGAAAAAGGGAACCCAAAGGCCCGTTCCCAACCAAAATCAGGTGATTTGAATTCCCAATCGCCGGATTAGGGCCGTGCTCTCGGAATATGTTCCTTTTTGAGCTTTTTTCTCAGCCATGGTTTCATGCCGGTATTGGCATATGGGTGAAACCGTGGGCATGCGGAAGCGATCGGTTTTCAAAATTGGCGGCTGCGTGCACAGTTTAATAGTTCTTGGTTTTGTTGGGCGGTGTTTTCATACCTTCCTTTCCCTAAAGCATTTTCCCACGCGTATTTATTGGAGTATTGCGTCCATTGCTGCCTGGGGCCACCTACTCTTCTTTTACCTACATCGAACGTTACTGCGGAATTAAGTTCATAACTAACCCGCCTAAGCGGGTCATTGTCATTGCTACGTAAAATATGCCCCGCTAGTCTAATTCGTCTATCTATTAACAGGTCAGAGAACAGTTTAATTTTCAGCGGGGTCCCAGGTTGATGTCCAAGCTCTTCGTTGGCCTTTCTTACTACAAATTCATTGGTGTTTTGCCGGTTTACATAGGTAGTTGTTAGTCCTAATATCTTCCTCAGCCCTCGGAGCTGAAAGGCGTTGACTTTCCGTTGTAAACTTTGCGTCAGGTGTACCGTTTCTAGACCATATAGTAGTTTGTTTCGGATCACTGCGTCATAGACTTGCAGTTTCCATTTTGTTGTGCAGTCTACTGCTTTCCAGAACGTTTCAAGTTTGAACCAAGTTCTCAAAGTTTGCGACATTTTGTGATTGATTTCATGTTTAACGTCCATTTGTTGAGTGATTTGATGCCCCAAATACGTGGTTTCTTCAAGTCTTTCCATCTTTTGCCCGTCAGGGAACTTTATCACATTATTACCATTCATTGAAATATAATTGCATTTACCCCTGTTCAATTTTAAACCAAACTGTAGGGAAACCCTTTCGACCTCTGCTAGATGCTTGTTTGCAGCTCTGGTACTTGTTGCAATGAGGATTGTGTCATCTGCATAGTATACCCGATGTATGGGCAGGGAACTGCTGGGGTTTCTGAAGTTACGTGGGTTCTGTAGACGGTATTTTACATCTTCATCTACTATAGACATCAGAAGGACAAAGAGATACGGCGAAAGAGGACAACCTTGCCTTATGCCTGCGCGTTGTTTTTTAGTTTGTGATGCTCCATATTCGTCTTCCACAAAGAACGAAGCTTTCCTGTAGCCATCTTGCAACACATCTATGAAATGCTCATGGATTCCTAGCGCAAAGCTATCCACAACCGGTCATGCTTTATCCGATCGAAAGCTTTCTCCCAATCTAGAAAGAGTAGGATCATGTTAGAACCTTGTTGCTCCGAAATATCTCCTTTTTGAGCTTCATTTGTTTGTTTTGGTCACTTGTGGGATCGAACTTGTTCACCGAGATCAATTTGACAAGTCTCTCTAGAATCTAGAACATGGGTTGTCTAAGCTGCCATAAAACCCCCTAAACATGCCGATATTTGGACTGCAAATCAGTGACCACCATCCTGATCTAAGAACTAAAAAGTTGTATACTCAAATCCCCATGTTGCAAGCGAACCCTTGGTGGCTCCCAGGGCCCCCGAACCACAAGACCGGCAGAACATGCAGTGTTGATGGTCTGACCTGCGGATTCTGCTGACCCACAGATGTCTCACCCACGGTAAGCCATAGGACAGCACATGTTTGCTGGGTAGGAGGCTATTTCCACTGAGGTTGCGGCTAGCACCCTTCAGGTTCAACGCGAAGTTTACGCGGTTGGAAATGACCGCCTCAGCGCCTGGCACCCGTGCACGGAGAGACCAGCTGTAGTGGCTGTAGTGGGATGTTTGGGATGTTTAATCATCATGATAAAGACTTCTGGGAGGTCCCCAGTTTCAGCCATTTGCTAAACGTCTTAAGCCTTAGAATTCTCGGCCCCTTGTGCAAAATGTCTCGTTGTGCCCTGAGGTCCCGCGCTTCCACAACCTGCTGCATCAATGGGGTGTGGCACCATGCCCCTGCGCTGCGAAACAGTTGGAATCGCTGGTTAAGGTCCGGCCACGCTGAGGACTGCGCCATTCGGAACCGCTGACGCCCACAAAGCAGCCTGGGACATGGCAGAGTCTTTTTCAGCTCCAAAGCGCTGATGTCATGCACGATGTCATGCACGATGTCATGTCAATGTGTTGCAAGTTCATCAGCGAGAAGGACTTGTATGGTCTTTTCAGGACTCAATGGCATCAGGGTTCAATGATTGAACGATGTTTTTTTTTCACAAACCTTTTATATAAAGCTTCCCTGGCAGGATTGTGCAAACTGGCAAAGTATGACGCGTTGACAAAAGACCATCAAAAACACCAGCACATTCAGAATGGTCTAAATATTACATACTTTTGAGTCCACCAGACTTGCCACGGCTTAGACAGCAATTACAGGACAAATACTGGACATTCAAACATACCGGGTGTTCCTCCTTCTTGCTCCTTCTTAAGGTCAATCCAACAACTTCCCACAAGCCATCATCATCATCATCATCATCATCATCATCGTCATCGTCATCGTCATCATCATCATCATCATCATCCTCATCCTCATCCTCATCATCATCATCATCATCATCATCATCATCATTTTCCCAACGGTTTTTTGGGCTGCTGGACATGCGAAAATGTTGGTCATTGGCGAAGGCACGTTGAGGCTCCCAGCCAACATGCTTTGGTGCCCGCTTCAAGGATGTCATGTCAATGCCTGGGCCCGGCATAGTCACTCACTTTTTCTGCAGCTTGTTGTCCACGTTTTTGCCATTGTCCGTTCAATTGAATGGCAGTCTGGGATGAGTTTCAAAACTCAAAGGCCTCAAGTGAAGCAGATTTAACAGAAACAATTCAATAGCTGAGTTGGTATCCTGCCATGTTGATGGCTTCGTAGGCGATTTCCAGGGTCTGCACAATTGGCACAAAGCACCGGGTGGTTCGTAGCACGCTCATGGAACGTGCTTCAGATTCAACCAAGAAACGGCTTGCAATGAGCAAACCTACGCAATCCCTGCCTTGCGCTGATTGGGGTCCATTGAAGCTGCCTTACCACTGCAGTTCAGCATTAAATCTCAGCAGCTCCACTGTTAAGCTTGGCTCACCCTGGACCCTGGATTTTCAAAATTCGCTCTTCATTTATCCAGTTTCAACATGATTTGAATTGGACGGTTCATAATATATACATCAAAGAACCTGATCACACTCTTTCCAGCCCCCTTTCCACCCTGCTGCATTGCCTCAACGTTGGAGATGCCAAAAAACTTGTGGTCAAAAAATTCGATCCCATCAACGTAGCCCTGGCTCCCGCGCTTGTAAAGGGCCAGAGAGAAAAGAGAGAAGCGAAGTGAAACAAAAATACATCATGCTGCAAGAGATGGGATAGGCTCTAGATTTGCAAGGACAATGGTGGATTTCTTGACCCTCTCGTTTCGGCAAGCACCAACGGTTGTTTGATGTTGTTTGCCTTTTAAACCTTTCAAAATCTGGTGACAGAATCATTCATAATCAACAAACGCCGCCCAGAACATTCAGAGCTGACAATCAACACATTTTCTGGACGTTGCTTTTCTGCTCAGGTCATATCTCAAACGCCACCCCAGTGTCTTTCTGTTCCCACATCTTCCATCGTTTCTTCAAACTGCGCCTCTTGAAAATCTTCAAAGTCCAGGAACCCTAAAAGCAACAGGAACATCACGGCACTTCGAAATGGGTGTGAAATAGTTTTAGGATTTTTTTTTTCAGCAGGTTTGGGAATTTTTTTTGGATTTCTTGGCTGGTACCATTTGCCTAGTGTTTGCAACGGTTTGGAACTTGAATTTGTCATTTTGCATGGTATTTGCCACATTTGGGCATGTTCACCTTCCATTTTGCATGGGATTTACTACATGTGGGCATGTTCACCTTCCATTTTGTATGGTATTTGCCACATTTTGGCATGTTCACCTTCCATTTTGCATGGGATTTCCTGCATGTGGGCATGTTCACCTTCCATTTTGTATGGTATTTGCCACATTTTGGCATGTTCACCTTCCATTTTGCATGGGATGTTCTACATGTGAGCATGTTCACCCAAATATTTACAGATGCAGAAGCTTGGGATTAGATAAAAAGCGGGTGGGGGGGATTGAGGGAGGGCGCTAGCTATCTATCCAGCTAGCTAGCTATCTAGCTATCTAGCTAGCTATCTATCTAGCAAGCTAGCTATCTATCTAGCAAGCTATCTATCTATCTAGCTATCTATCTACCTATCTAGCTAGCTATCTTGCTAGCTATCTATCTACCTATCTAGCTATCTAGCTAACTATCTATCTAGCTATCTAGCTATCTAGCTTTCTATCTATCTAGCTATCTATCTATCTAGCCATCCAGCTGTCTATCCAGCTATCGAGCTATCTAGCTAACTATCTATCTAGCTATCTAGTTATCTAGCTTTCTATCTATCTAGCTATCTATCTATTTAGCCATCCAGCTGTCTATCCAGCTATCTAGCTAACGAGCTATCTATCTAGCTATCTATCTATCTGGCTAACTATCTGCCTATCTATTTAGCTATCTATCTATCTATCTAGCTATCTATCTAGCTACCTCTTTATCTATCTAGCTAGCTATCTATCTAGCTATCTATCTATCTAGCTATCTATCTAGCCATCTATCTATCCAGGTATCTAGCTATCTATCTCTCTAGCTATCTATCTATCTAGCTGGCTATCTATCTATCTAGCTATCTATCTACCAAGCTATCTATCTATCCAGCTATCTATCTATCTATCTATCTGTCTATCTATCTATCTATCTATCTATCTATCTATCACATGTAATCCTGTCAGCTTTCCAGAGAAGGTTAGTTCGCAAAAACCAACTAATGTAACTTGGGTTTAAGTTTAAATAAAAAAAAAAAGCGGGAGGGGGGGATTGGGGGAAGGGCGCAGCGCCTCCCCCCAAAGCAGAATGCAAGCACCTCTTCTCACATGTTACGTTGCAAGTTTTCAAGAGAAGGTTGGTCATGTGATACTCAGGGATGTAAATACTGTGCAAAATGCATCTTACATGAAAATCAAGTATTTAAAGCAGGCAAAGCAAAAAAAAAGCAGAGAAGCAAAAAAGCAGAGAAGCAAAGAAACAGGAAACGCACAAAAGCAAAACAGCAGAAAGGCAAAGAAGCAGGAAAAGCAGAAAAGCAGAGAAGCAGGAAAAGCAGGAAAAGCAGAGAAGCAAAGAAACAGGAAAAACAGAAAAGCAAAAAAGCAGAAAAGCAGAGAAGCAGAGAGGCAGGAGAAGCAGAAAAGCAAAAAAGCAGAAAAGGCGAGAAGCAGGAGAAGCAGGAGAAGCAGAAAAGCAAAAAAGCAGAAAAGCAGAGAAGCAGGAAAAGCAGGAAAAGGGAAAGCAGAGAAGCAGGAAAAGCAGGAAAAGCAGAGAAGCAGGAATCCAAAAATAATTCCTAAACCTGATCAAAAAAAAATCCTAAAATAATTAGCCCTCCCTTCGAAATTATCAGCGCAGGGCTCCAAAGACCTTCCACTCAGAGCAAGGGTTTGCTCGCCATCCACTATCAATGGAACTCATTTTTCCTGTCATCAACCAAATCATTCACTGCGTGGATCAATTGGCCCTTGTCTTGGCCGATTCCAAGTTACTGAGAAGTTTTAATGCTGGCAATCCATCGCAATGGCAGTGCCAAACGGAATCAAAGGAGCGCTTTGCGTGCCGAACATGTTGAGTTTGCTAAACCACCCATTGCATTTGGCTGTGCCAAGAAAAGAAATTGGTCAATGTCTCCAGGTACCAACTGTTGCTCAATAGTATCTGCAGCTTTGCTTGGCCTGGTCATGCCAGGCCCGATGTAAAATCTACCGACATGGCAACCACGGGGTTGCAACAGATCACTTGTGGTCCCGGTTCAGTTTGTCTTCAATCGTCTCTTCAGGGATCCCATCTTGCGAACAAGCAATCAACTCTTCGACCAGATTTCCGACAATGCTAGGGACTACCGCAAGAAGGCGGCCAGTTGAGCATGAAGAGCTGGAATCTCCTAAGCAAAAAGAACCTGGGAAACCTGGGAGAACCCAGCTGACCTAGTAATGAAATCTGGAGAGTATCAATGACAATCCCGCATGGGAAGCACATCTTCTTGTTGTAGTGATACTATGTCATAATCCATTCTGGATATTCTGGGATCATGCTAATCAAAAAAACCTGTCTCTATTGGATTAACTAGACTAGTTACACCAACCCGAAGTAAATCATTTTGGAGGAATTGTTCCGTTGTTCCTTGTTAGTTTGCTTAGCCGCCATTTTTGCTGGTTGAGTCTGCGATGCCCGTTCCAAGCTGCCACCGGGCCACCGCTTCCACCAGCAGCTGCCCCTCAGGGATGTCCTGCGCCACGCTCTGCGCATCCTCCAAGGCGTGGAGCCGATCATCTACCAAGCCGTGGTGGAAAATCAGGGCGGGCACCTGCGGAGCCAAACTTTGGAAGGGGAACCAGATGGAACCAGCTCCCAAACATAACATGTTAACAATCAACTCGTGGGCTCAATATATCGAATTTGAGCATGTTTTAACCATAGTCATCAAAGGAAGTTTCATGGAGGAAACTCCGAGTTGCGGACTTTCACATTCTCACCAGCCCAGAGATCCTTGTGTCCAGTTGGCATGTGCCTTAAGAGATCATGAACTCACAGTCTCACCAGCCCAGAGATCCTTGTGTCCAGTTGGCATGTGCCTTAAGAGATCATGAACTTACAGTCTCACCAGCCCAGAGATCCTTGTGTCCAGTTGGCATGTGCCTTAAGAGATCATGAAGTCACATTCTCATTAGCCCAGAGATCATTGTGTCCAGCTGGCACCTGCGTGAAGTAGAGAAGAGGTAGACTAGAGGTAGAGAAGAGTAGAGCAGACTAGAGTAGAGTAGAGCAGAGTAGAATAGAGTAGAAGTTGGCACCTGCGTGAAGTAGAGAAGAGGTGGAGAAGAGGTAGGGTAGAGTAGAGGCAAAGGAAAAAGTAGAGTAGAGCAGACTAGAGTAGAGTAGAGTAGAAGAGTAGAGAAGTGTAGAGTAGAGCAGAGAATCTGCGATTCTGATTGTGTCTTGCAAGTCCCTTTTTGGAACTGCTACATCATGGATGCGATTTGAATGTTAGGATTTGCGCGGCTTCGCGGCTTCTATGCGTTGGCGCGGGCCCGGTTTACCCCGGCATTGCAAAAGTGGTCCGCACCTGGTGTGCTTTGTACATTTTGACTTGGAAATGTGCTTCGCGCCACAACGGCGTGCACTTTTTCGACATCTCAACTGCCAAAAGTGGTCTGGACCTGGTGTGCTTTGTACATTTTGACTTCGAAATGTGCTTCGCGCCACAACGGCGTGCACTTTTTGGACATCTGAACTTCCAAAAGTGGCGCGAACATCTGGTGCTTTGTACATTTTCACTTCGAAATGTGCTTCGCGCCACAACGGCGTGCACTTTTTCGACATCTCAACTTCCAAAAGTGGTCCGACAATGGTGTGTTTTGTACATTTTGACTTCGAAATGTGCTTCGCACCACAACGGCATGCATTTTTTCGACAGCGCAACTTCTAAAAGTGATCTGAAGCTGATGTGCTTTGTACATTTTGACTTGGAAACGTGCTTCGCTCCACAACTGCGTGCAATTTTTCATCTCTCATCTGGCCAGCTGGCTCCGCACCCGCCGCTTTAGCGAGCCTACTTTTCGACCCTCTGGAGCCACAAATCGTTGGAAAAACACAGTGTTTCGCGACTTTCCTACCTTTTCGCGCACCTGCATCTTCTTTCTTCTGACTCTTTCTCTTCTCTGATCTTCTCTCTTCTGCTCTTCTCTTCTCTATTCTTCTGCTCTACCTCTGCTTTCATCTGTCCATATTGTCGGAAGTTTGACTTCTAAACTTCCTTCGGTAATGAACTTAGTTGTGTTGTGGGATCGTGGCTGTCAACTCGCAATTCTGTATACAAACCTTGTCGATGGGAGCCCCAGTTGGGTGGCTTCAACATTACTTGGAACTGCTTGGTTGCCCTTACTGCAGGGACGAATGGGAGCCTTATGCCACTGAGAAAAGGTTCAGCAAGCTTAAGTTTGTTTTGTCTGCACCTTTCTGAAACATGTCCACCTTACGATAAATGCAAAAAAAATGCATCCTTTGCATGGTCACATGATGCTTCCCCTGAAGGAGGCTCGAATCCACCACCTCCAGCTGGCGCAGTGCTTCGGGGAAGAGGCCCAGGAATGCTTCTCCAGTGAAGCCTTCCAGGAAGACTTGCGAATTCATCATGGCGTTCCTCGGCTGATTGCTGAGTGCAGAAAGTAGCACGTCGTGCCCGACTTGCCAAGGGTTTCTACTACCCAACGCCAGAAGACAGGCGAACAAAACAGAGGCCTGGAAATTCGTGAGAATGAACATGAAGAACTCAGTAGTATCTTAAAGGAGCTCATCTAATCATATCTAATCCGTATTAGGCTGCAACGGTTCAGTCTGCACGGGCAAAAACACAAGCAAGGAATAAATGCAACAAAAGTGTCATGAAGTACTTGGAATCCACAGATAGCAATGCGGCACGCTTCTCTTCACAGCCAGCAGCTTGTGCTTGGAACTGGCTGCCTGCTTTACATGGCAGTGCAAGATATCTATCCACAACCACAACCACAAGCAGACAAGTCTGTCTTTCCAACACGTTTTTTTAAACTGACCCCTCTTCACAGCCAGGGACTTTAAATCATCCTCGGGTTCCAACGTGACTCACTTTTGCAACCACTTTACTACAGCAGGTGCCCCCACGGAAAGGCCACTTGGGGGTCCCCCCCTGAGATCATCGACTATGCGCGCCTGGTGTGTTGACAATGGCTTCCATTCCACCCTTCTGCGCCAGCTCCCAACAGTCGCCATAATAGGCCTGCGCACCACATCGCTGAATGCACCGCAACCAGGATCCTTGCTGAAAGGTCATGATATTGAAGACAACAGTGACAAAGATTCAATATCATATGATATCTATGGAGAAACCTCTCAACCACCCCTCTACAGAGAAATACCAAAACATGGGAGACCGGCTGACAAGGCAGCAATAAGCAGCAGGTTGATCTGATTGAATTGGATAGATGCACCTTCTGCCAGAAACACGGGCTGCTGGTTTGCAAATGATACTGAAATTCCACTGCGTTCCGCCAATTCATCAGTGTGCATCATGATACTGATTTAACTTGAGGGGGAGGCCGACATCTGGACATTTGGTGGCATTTCATCTTTCACGGCCCCAGAGGTCCAATATGTGTATTTCAAATACAGATGGCAAAGGCCACCATTTTGACCAAATGAAAGTTGGAAGAGGCCAAACTATCAACTTCAGCTCCAAATCTCTACTTTCCAACCGCTTTGAAGCACCTGCGCCAATAGCCCTGAAGCCCCCGCAGCATCTCCCGTGGGCAGCACTGCTAACTTGGAGACACGCTTGGGGTAGCGTGAGGCAAACATAGCAGAGAGGCGAGCACCAGAACTCAGGCCCAACCTCACAGCAGCTGGATGATTTCAGGCAAGAAGGATGGAAAATAGAAACCCTTAACTGCAAAGCTACCAGTACTGGTTTGAGACATCTGGGGCACAAGTGTCGGCAGGAGGCATACCTGAACAGTGAATCCGTGCAATTGGTACTTTCCAAAGAGTAATGAAAAGTCCTCTGCATGAGAATAATCCCCTTCTTCAGAACTAACCAAGTCTGTTAAATTCGATATCCAAATTAGAACACGTTTGCCCCTTGCAACAAGTCGTCACCTCTCTTCGACAAGAACCCCTCCAAAGCTGTGATGCCCTGCCTTTGCCAATCCTTGGGCCCTAGATGGGTTCATTGCGATGTAAATATAAATTTGAAAACTGGTGGTCGGCAGTTATTTGTCGTTCGTTGTATTTCGCTGAGGGCGTACGTGATGTTCTTTCAAAAAGGAGACGCGTACACCGGAAAAATTGCAAACAGAGCACTGACGAAGCAATACGGGCAAGGGAAAACGATGAAAACGATGTCACGGTATTCAGACCCCTCCTCATACTCATGTTGGATTCACATGTTTTCGAGTACTGTCAAATCAGCAAAAGAAGTGCCACTGCACTTGGCAAGTAGCAACGATATCGGCTCTCCAAACTCTGCCCAATCCAAGAGTAACCTGGGTGCATTCACTGTGCATCCGTCTGCCAAACTTAGCCTGGAAACACAAGAATCCGTTGTTGTTTGTATGTGTGCGTGTATGGTTAAACATCAGTCGAATTTTAAAAAAAAAACCTTTCACAATTGCTACATATTTGCTGAATCTCAAAAACAAACAGCAGATGCAAAAAAAACGGTGGCACCACCCAATTGTTGCCAGGCAGCTTCAGGTCTTGCACTTCCTCAGAAAAAATCTGACAAATGGAAGGTAGAAAGGTGCCAATTGTGTATATAACCGATCGGGCCTGAAACCTGCGGGCATGTCATGCCGACATGATTTGCTGTGCGTGTAGGATGGCCCCCGCGCAGCTGGATTTGGTGTCTCTCTGGTCACTGCCGTGTTTGATATTCCACGTTCCCCTTCCCTTTGGCCAAAATATTTTTGCAGGAAGATCATATATGGACAAGAGGCAACAAAGAAAAGTTGTTCTCTTGCCCGGGCCCCCAAGACACAAACAGGAACAACTAGACGACGGATGGCCCGAGAGCGTAGAGGAGCAGGGTCTTCTCTTGTTAGTGTGGAGACACAATATTACAAACAATATATTAAAGATGTGTTATAGGCAGTCGAGAAGAGGAGTATCAAGACAAAATAGCAGAAGTGCAAGACAATAGTTTGCATCGCAAACACTTTTACACACAGAAGCTTTTACACACAGACGTTTTTACACACAAAAGCTTTTACACACAGAAGCTTTTACACACAGAAGCTTTTACACACAAAAGCTTTCACACACAGAAGCTTTGACAGACAGACACTTTCACACACAGACCCTTTTACACACAGACGCTTGTACACACAAAAGCTTTTACACACAGAAGCTTTTACACACAGACGCTTTTACACAGACGCTTTTACACACAAAGCTTTTACCCACAAAAGCTTTTACAGACAAAAGCCTTTACACACAGACGCTTTTACACAGATGCTTTTACACACAGACACTTTTACACACAGACACTTTTACACACAGACACTTTTAACAAAGACCCTTTTACACACAGGAGCTTTTACACACAGAAGCGTTTACACGCAGACGCTTTTAGACACAAAAACTTTTGCATACAGAAGCTTTTACACAAAGACGCTTTGACACACAGACACTTTTACACACAGACACTTTTACACACAGACACTTTTAACAAAGACCCTTTTACACACAGGAGCTTTTACACACAGAAGCGTTTACACGCAGACGCTTTTACACACAAAAACTTTTACACACAGAAGCTTCTACACATAGACGCTTTGACACACAGACACTTTTACACACATACACTTTTAACAAAGACCCTTTTACACACAGGAGCTTTTACACACAGAAGCGTTTACACGTAGACGCTTTTACACACAAAAACTTTTACACACAGAAGCTTTTAAACATAGAAGCTTTTACACACAAACGCTTTTACACACAAGCGCTTTTACACACAATCACTTTTACATACAGACGCTTTTACACACAGACGCTTTTACACACAGGCCGGCCCATGTTCACTGCATTGCATCAGAAACACTCTTACACACAAACCCGTTTACACAGAAACACGTTTACACACAGAAGCTTTTACACACATGCACTTTTACACACAAACACTTTTACACACAAACATCTTTACACAGAAACACTTTTACACACAAACACTTTTACACACAAACATCTTTACACAGAAACACTCTTACACACAAACCCGTTTACACACAAAGACTTTTACACACAGAAGCTTTTACACACACATTGCCGATGTCACACAGAAACACCTTTTACACAGAAACCCTTCTGCACTCACACCACTTTACACAGAGACGCTTTAACACACAAACCCTTTTACACACAGACACTTTTACACACAAAAGCTTTTACACACAAACCCTTTTACACAGATTCACTTTTACACACAAACACTTTTACACACAAACATCTTTACACAGAAACACTCTTACACACAAACCCGTTTACACACAAAGACTTTTACACACAGAAGCTTTGACACACAGACACTTTTACACAAATGCTCCGGGACAAGTAAAATCGCAATTTTACCTCAGTTTTTGACGATCGACACTCATTTCGTGCGAAAGGGTTGCTCCGGGACAAGTAAACCTCAGTTTTTGACGATCGACACTCATTTCGTGCGAAAGGGTTGCTCCGGGACAAGTAAAATCGCAATTTTACCTCAGTTTTTGCCGATCGACCCTCATTTCGTGCGAAAGGGTTGCTCTGGCTCCGGGACAAGTAAAATCGCAATTTTACCTCAGTTTTTGCCGATCGACCCTCATTTCGTGCGAAAGGGTTGCTCCGGCACAAGCAAAATCGCAATTTTACTTCAGTTTTTGACGATCGACACTCATTTCGTGCGAAAGGGTTGCTCCGGGACAAGTAAAATCGCAATTTTACCTCAGTTTTTGCCGATCGACCCTCATTTCGTGCGAACGGGTTGCTCCGGCACAAGTAAAATCGCAATTTTACCTCAGTTTTTGCCGATCGACCCTCATTTCGTGCGAAAGGGTTGACGTTTCGTGACTCCTCGCCGGCACCACCCTCGGCCTAAAGAGAGAAAGATAAAGAAGGCGAGAGAGAGAAAAGGACGAGAGAAAGGAGAGAGAGAAAGGAAGATGAGAAGATGTGAAGATGAGCAGATGTGAAGATGAGAAGGTGTGAGAAAAGGTGCGAAGATGAGAAGATGTGAAGATGAGAAGATGTGAGAGAAGGTGTGAAGATGAGAAGATGAGATACAGACCCCCACTATTGGAAGAACCCTGCGCTCAGACGCTCTCGGGAAAAACGGTCAAAAATTAAAGGACCGGAATAACCCCACAAGGCAACTTCTTCCAATAATCACAAAAAGTGGTTGAAGCGGCACGGAGAAAGCAGAAAGGACAAATGAGATGGTGGAGGATCGATAATTTTAAAAGTTGTATGAGAAGAGTTGTGTGTGACAAAGTTGTGTGTGTGTGTGTGAAACATTGTGTGTGAAAGGTTGTGTGTGTGTGTCAAAGTTGTGTGTGAAGGATTGTGTGCCAAAGTTGTGTGTGAAAGAGTTGTGTGTGACAAAGTTGTTTGTGACAAAGCTGTGTGTGAAAGAATGTGTGTGTGACACAGTTGTGTGTGACAAAGATGGGTGTGAGAGAGAGAGAGAAGTTGCATGTGAGAGAGATGTGTGTGTGTGTGAAAGATCGTGTGCGTGCGTGTGTGTGTGTGACAAAGTTGTGGGTGACAAAGTTGTGTGTGTGTGTGTGTGAAAGCTGTGTGTGCGAAAGAGTTGTGTCTGACAAAGCTGTGTGTGTGATAAAGTTGCATGCGAGAGAGATATGTGTGAAAGGTTGTGCGTGACCAAGTTGTGTGTGTGACAAAGTCGTATTTGAGAGAGATGGACTCACTTGCAGCGTGGATGTGCCAGGCAAAGGAAACGTCGATATCACCAAGTGCCACCCCTGCCATGCAAATGGAATGTCGATGTCGCCAAGTGCCACGCCTGCCACGCAAAGTGCCGTGGCGCCACGGGCGACTAACGGCGCCCAAGCGCACCACCAGAGCCAACCCAGTCATAAGTGCCACGCCTGCCACACCAAACGAAAGTTGGTGTAAGCAAGTGCCAACCTGAAACTCCTCAAAGCTTCAATTTCAATAGTGCCATTGACTTCTCATCAACCCTTATAATCTCTCGCACACACATTTGCGGAAAACAGTCACCTCGAAACCACACCGTAACATACCATACTATGCTCATTCCGTCGTGATACCCCGCAACAAGCATGACCGTTCAGCCAGCAACAGTCCTTGACTGATTCTATATCCGTGACTCCCTTATATTGCACAATGCAACCGTCTATTCAATTCGACCAACTGCACAAAGTTGTGACACAGTTGTGTGAAAAAAAGGTGCGTGACAAAGTGATGTGTGACAAAGGTGGTGACGAAGATTGTGTGTGACAGTTGTGTGTGAAAGAGAGTGTGTGACAAAGTTGTGTGAAAATATGGTGTGTGACAAAGTTTGCGTTGAAAGATGGTATGTGACAATGTTGTGGGGAGGAGGCGGAGGCGGTGGAGGCGGAGGCGGCGGAGGCGGCGAAGGCGGAGGCGGCGGAGGCGGAGGCGGAGGAGCGGGATACAGAATCAAAAACAAGAACCCCACACAAAGATGTGGGGAAATGTGAAAAGCAAAAGAGCAAGTGCTGCCAAGAGACAAAACTCATAAATAGAGAAAAGGGGAAGGGGAGAGAGAAAGAGAGAGAAAGAGAGAAAGAGATTGATTTAGATAGACACGTTGATACAAGTTGGTATAGCCACGGAACTGTGGCACGAAGGATTTGAGCTCTTACTGCGCTCCATTTTCTACTCACACACTTTTCAACAACAAAATCCCAGAGTTTAAGAGTGTAGTAATTCAACAAGTTCCCGCTTTCACGGGCAAAAAACATCACACCAAACTGTTTGTTGCATTTAAACGCACCAGATGTCTAAAAACATGATTCCCCAAACAGTGTGGCCACACTGAGGGGTTCTTACGGTAGGTGTTAAGGCCCAGTGTTCAATCGAGGTGGTATCCGTCCCGTTTGGCATTTTCCCTGACACAAAATGGCTCTTGTGAAATGTCGATGTGCATTTCGACTGCGCGGGCTCGCACAAAACGGGTGTCGCGGTATTAGCGTCCCTGTAAATTTCTACACAAAATGGCTCTTGTGACATGTCCATGTGCATTTCGACTGCGAAGGCTTGCAAAAAACGCTGGCCCCGGGCGATGCGCCCGGCATTTTCCCTGTAAATTTCCACACAAAAATGGCTCTTGTGAGATCGCCCGTGCAACCCTCTCGTCACTTTGGGCCTGCCAGATCGCTCTCGCTGTGGCGCTGTGCCCATTTTGAGATGCCTCGCGCAACCTTCTCGTCACTTTGGGCCTGTCACGTCGCTCTCGTTGTGGCACGCTGCTCATTTGGATGGTCAAGGAGATCTTGCGCAGAGATCTTGACAAGGAGGTCTCTTATACAGAGCTTGCCCAGAGATCTTGTACAGAGAGCTCTTATAGAGATCTTGTACAGAGATGTACAGAGATCTTAACAAGAGGTCTCTTACAAAGATCTTGCCAAAAGAGCTCTTATAGAAAACTTGTACAGTGTTACAGAGATCTCTTCAAGCTTGAAGAGTCTTGCCAAGAGCTCTCTTATAGAGATCTTGTACACAGATCTTACACCAATAATCCTTTACGCACCTTTACACCAACCCGCTGGTATCAGCCCCTCGGCCGGCCAAGGCTAGTTAAATACTGGCTTGACCTGGCCAACTCTCCGATACTTGGTACACCTAAAGCAGTGAGTAGATGTGAGTAGGTGGATTCAATGCTGGCCGTATCTTCACTAAGTTTGATTGGCAGACATTCCTGCGTGACGTTGGTTCTGATATTGCGCCCAAACTATCCAAAAAGCGAATAGATACAATTTCAACTAAATGAGCATTTGGGAGTTCCGAAGTATCTGATCTCATCTCACCACAATTTTCAAGAACCCCCCCCCCACCAGTCTCAACAGGTTGTATTGCCATGGATCCTCCTCGGGCATGGAAGGCTCAGTCAAAGGCGCCCACACAGAGGAGCCGCCCGATCCGCGGCGGTCCCAGATCAACACGGAGATCCCAGCCCTGGGTAACTTGGTGCTTTTTGGGAATCAAACAGAAGCCTATTTAGATTGAAAATAGAGCGGCATAAATTCTTTCAATGCTGCAAACCTTGAAATTCTGCAAAAAGGGCTATGTCATACTGTAATTAGGGAAACCTATTTTGGGTAGTTCGTCTGATCAATCTGGTTGGTCTCCCACCTCTCCCAATAATTAGCGAAATTGGAGCTGATGATTGAAGATCACTTCAACCTGCGAAAATGGATCTGCTAGCGAATGTGACCCACTGAAACCTAAACCTACACAGGGACCAACGTAGGAAATCAGAAATGAATTAACCAGAACTGAGCAGTGGCACTTTTGCAAGGGCTGGTGACTTGTGCACTTTCAAAGAGAGACATGGACACCTAGTTGCAGTCCAAGAAAACACCGAGCGATCCCTTGTTTGAACATGTTGAAACGCTGGGATACACCCATGGTTGGATACGGACATGCCTTGCCAAGACAAATTATACTGGATGCGCCTACGAAGGCACCTGAGGTTATATTATTAACCATCATCAACCATATAATATAACCATATATAAACCATTATTAACAGGATATTAACCACAATGGTAGGTATACCACCAATAATCTCATGTGGTTTATCAATGTATCCGACATCCCACAGCCAGAAGTCCACCAGGTTGAGCTGAGATTCAAATCCACCAAGGCCGAAGCCAAGGCTCTTGCAGCACTCAAATCCAGTTGACCCCGGGGAGTGATGACTACTGTTGGAGTTCCTGTGGATGTTCTGCGTCCAGTGGTATGTTGGCGTTGGAAACCAATCAAACTCAGTTAAAAATTACAATTTCAGCTGTTTCATTGAATGGCAAACAGACGTAGGGGATGTTCCAATCTGCTAAACCATGTGAGACTTCAGGAACCCATCCCTGCCTTCACCATGGATCTCCCAACTCAATTGTAAGGTCTTCAAATGTGCCACGCCAGCCTTGCATCCTTCACCCCCGTCACCCCCATTCCGCTCCAATCGTTGCCACCAGCGGCTGCTTTTACGCCCCAAGAGTGGGGCGAGGCGCGCTCCAAATCGTGGAGTTGTCGAGGAGAAAGCACGGCACAGGGAACCAGTCAGCATTGCCATCACTGAGCTAATAGAGTTAATTAGAGTTAATAGAGATGAAATCTCAAACCATTTCAATTTCATTCAATTTCAATGATTTCAATGTGTCTGTCAACTTGTTCTGAGCAAACAACGACGTTTTCCATCGTTTTCCTGTAGGATCATCAATGACATTGTTACGCTACGAAGAAATGCTTGGATTGGTCAAGTCACTGGCAAAGAGGGTATGGTGCCATGGTGCCTGGTGACTCCGATTCTCTGGGTTCTACTAGTTCACACCCTTTACCCACGAACACACGTTTGCTACGGTTGCAGAACTCTGATAAGTTCTGGTTTAGTTTAGTGCGCCTTCGTCCCTGTTTAGGGCTGCGATGCCGGCAGCTTCAGCTAATCGCTACAGTCGATCCAACTATTTCAGTCAATTGGCTGGATAGTCTTCAAGGTACGGAACCTCTTGGTACTGGACGACCCAAATCTTTGAGACGTGCTCAAAATCACCGACGCAACGTGACTCATATTGCCCATGAATGGACAAACAGCTTTCCAACTTGCAAGCGACTCAAAGTACGGCATGAACGGCATGCCAAAATTCCTTTGTCATTATCCCCATGGACAACATCACACCTCATGATTTATATAAAATTTATATGGTCACCAAGCTTTTTGTCACAAGCCTACAAGTTTGCCCCACAGCGAAGCCCGCCTGATGAGCGGTGTACGCCTTTCCTGCGGCCTGGGCATCCTGGCCATCCACCAAACGCGGATCATGCGATGGATCCATGGAGGGATCCACATTCTGAGGCGCCAACTGCCATGTTTTCAGTGTCCAGGTAGTAATTGTTGAGGTCATAACCTAAAGCTTCAGACTGATGCTGAAAGCAAACAGACTTTTTGGGAAAAATAGACAAACTATGAAAAGCAGCACAAAAATGGACACGGAGAGGCGGAATGGCTACGGGATGGCATGGGTAGATGAATATGAATGACATGAATCTTGAATTCCATTTATTGGAACTGGAGCCATGTCAGGCCAGGTTTACATCACGGGACGAACATGAGTTATGTCTGGCCGAGTCTAGATGGTGGCTCTCATTTTGAACTGACCCAACAACAAGGACATGGCAAACATGCTCAGTTTTCGGTCCAAATGGCAAGAAAACAACTGCACTCTAAAGAATCCAAGCATATCCCACCGTTGTGTGTTGCGTTTGTGACGAGACATGGATCTGGAGATGCTACACTCCAAAGGCTCCCGCGAGAGATGGGCGTCATCACTGCTGTATCGGTTCCAGCCTGGCTATGGATGCTATGTGGAGATCAGATCGATATCGGATCATGCCAAGCCGTCGCCGTGCTATCCGATCGCCTTGTTGAACATGAGCCAGTAGCAGTGGTGGTCCTGTTGGGATCTCACTGGGAAACAGGGGTTGGGCTGGGTCCCCCAATAGAAGCTGTAAAAGAAATTTCATGATTCTATTAGAAATTCTATTAGAAATTCATTTCAATTCTATGACTCTTTGATGGGCCATAACCCCAAACTATCCATTCGATCTAGTTGCAAAATCGCCACTGGGCTCGGAGCTTTTGTATCAAGCCTTGTATAAAACCCCTACATGAAGACTCCCGTACAAGATTGTGTATCCGCCTAAGCCTGCAGGTATAATTCTTGATTTACCCTCAGACTTGCAAAATCATAACACCCACTGCATGTACTCAGAATGTATACACAATAGATTGATACGACTTCAATTGCCATTTTGCTGAGCCATCGTCCTTGGAATCGCCACCAATAGCCGTTGCAACGCCGTTCACAACCACTGACTCGCCCTGGCGGATGGATGACCCTGCCGAGGGGTAACAATATTGCACAGTAGAGGGGATGGTACCACGATCTGATCATTCCGACACATGGCTATGGATCAATACCTATGAAAATACCATTTTTAGGGGGATGAACATCCATAAATCCCAGCTATTTTGATGTGAACTACAGGGGTACAAGGTTTTGATCCATAGCCACATGAATTTTGCATGGTTTTGCTTCATGGCTATGGAGGCTTTGTCTCAGCGATTCGAGCCGGCCTGCGGGCTGGGTACGCCGGTCTCTGCTGCTTTCGCAAGCACCTAGCATCACATATAGTGTATCCAGGGCTGCTGAAGTAAACTATATACACTATACAGACTATACGGTATACATGATATACATGATGTATTGAGGCAAATTCACTCATGAGAGTTCTTGTGCACCTCAGCTATTTAATAGGCATCTTGCGTTTGACCAACAGTGGAGCCATCAAAACATCATCACTGTTGGAGACCCTGGAACTCCGATTCGCCCTTGCAGTAGACAAGATATCATATAGGACATATAGGATATACCGTACCATGGGCGCCCCCTGTCGCCCCTGGCTAGATTAATTCTAAATTATTCCGCTCTACCTTGAGGGGTGAATGACGTGTTGGTTTTATTTCTATGGCAAACCTCTGTGGTTTCTGCAAAGGGACTCTCGGCGTATTTCTGCCAATGTTTTGCCATGTCGCACTATGAAGCAAGGCAAAAACCATCCAACACCATCCAAATGATCAAACAAAATCTGGAAAATATATGAAAAATATCAGATATATCTATCAAAAGGAATGAACATCACTGACCCCCCTACTATATCATTCTTCTTCGTCTTGTGGAACGTTCAAGAACACTCGTATATTATTCTACAAGTAATTGAAGGGCTCCAAAAATTATTCCACGAGTTGTTGAATGGTCCTAAATAGCTATCGAATTTTAAGAGGGGTACCCTCCCCCCCGCTCCCCCAAAAATTATTCCACAAAATTATTCCGCAAAAGTTATTCCACTAGCTCAGGGTACCCCTGGAATAATTGAGGAAGGAGCGGTGTATCATATAAGCTTCCGCTTGGTATATCCTACACCGCCCTCCACCACCGGGCTTTCTGAGAGATGCACTGACATGTCGCCACCAAAGCTCTGCATCTGATACCCTGGACGTTGCCCAAGCAGCCTTCAAACGAGGATAGGGATGGCCGGAATGGCAAAACCCTGAAAAAACAAAGCAGCTGTTTCGTGCAGACATCTAAAAGTTTTGTCGGTCCAAACTCCAAACTAAAATGCGGATAGACAGAGATACTGTAAGACTGGAAGACCAACATATTGAGTAATGAAGATGCAAATGTGTGGCATGAATCACATCTGAATGTGTACTGCACGCAGTAGATCTGTCAGGATGATACCTCTGTTTCAGAGTGCTAAACAAAAACTCTGTGTATATACTGTATATATATATATATACGTACATCCTATGGTAAACTTACACTCTTCAACCTTGCCTCTCTACCACAGAATAGATTGCAGCTGATTTGGGAAAGTTGAAAAGTGCTATAAAATCTGCATAAAGTATACACCTCTGCGACCACCACATGTAGCATGATTTCATGCGACTCCACATGAAGGACCCCAGAGGTCGCAGGCCAAGTCACCACGTTTGCAAGGTGGTGGTCCGACCAGCACACGTGTGGCTGTACCTGAAAGAGAAGAGTGGCTCGGTCCTATGAAACTGCAATGGCCTGAAACACCAACTGAAGGACTTCGCGGGACATTGGTTGGCAGTAAACTCAGTAAAGCAAAATAGCTTTTAGAAAAGTTTGGTTCCAGAGTTCCAGCTCTAGATCCTCCCAATCCTACTTCCAGCATCTTCCAGCCATTTCAAAAGGATCCGAGTACCAAATCCATCTGCCCCGGTCACTTGAACCGCTCCGTCAAAAACATCACCAACTTCCCGGGCGTTGCCTGCAATAGGTTAACAGTGGCTAGTGAATCAAGCCACTCAGGTAGCTGGCCATCTACATTTAGCACCTGGAAACTCACACCCTATGGATTGGTTGTGGGTTGGCATCAAAATACACTCAACGAGCCCATCCAGATCCACACCATCCACCTCAATGTCAATCTCTGATGTGCTGCGCGAAGATACGGACTGGTGCGGTATGAGCTTCAGAGTCCTTAATATCAAAACGAAAGGAGCATGATCAGCTTTCAAACACAGCTATCAACAAGAATAATCAGAGCAGGTTGCAGGGGAAGAGAACAGAGAGCTTGGCCAGACTTTAGGCCTTGAGATGAATATGCACCACAGACCCAAGGACTTCGTGCAATACATGCTTTTCTTTTATCTTGTTACCAATGCAAAGAATCAAGAAAAATATCTGAACCGTTTCAAAGGTGAGATCCACTAGCTGAAAACGTTTCAACATGAAACATGAAGCATAAAATCAATGAGAGATTCAGTTCATACATAGTTCATCATAGTTCTATACTCCCGTTCCATGGGGGTCACCACCCAACATCTGACCATCTGACCCGGACTCGCCCTGTCCGAGTGTCCCAGTCTTTGGGCCTAAGAAATGCATCATACAAACGCGTCGTCGCTTCACCAGGCTGATGAAGGTCTCCCTTTCAGCGCTACCAGGCTCTTGGGTGGCTTGATATGAAGCCTCCTGACAAAATCGGAACGGAACAATTCCTGCCCAAAAAGAACTGGGAATGATAGTCTTCAGGATGTTTCATCTGCAACCAAATTCACTTTGGATTAAACTGCCATATCATCTGCAAGGATGGAACTTGACCCGCTACTCAGGTGGAAGACTGACAAACACTACACAATAGTCATAGGTCCTGCCATGCTGAACTGATTTGGTATTAGACAAAGTGTCTTACAAAAAATTGGTCGTTGCAGCAGGAAGTGCAAAAATCATGAGTCCAAACTGTGATCTGAATAATTCTTTGTTTCAAAAAGCACATCAAGATTATTCCAGAGTATGGAAACCCATCTCCAACAGCCATCCCATCCCCCAAAAAAAAAATGACCAAAATCCCATCCAAATCCCAGCGGCCTCCTGTTGATTCTCAAAGGTTTGTCTCACCATGAGATTCGTCCTTCCAGTGATGCGACTCCCAAGTTCCTTCCTCAGCACGCTTGAAATGCTGTCGCCCAGTCGCGTGAGGCGCGTATCTTCCTCTTCAAAGACACGGTACACCTGTGCAGGAACTGATGAGAAGCACTTGGTACGTTTATTTTGGGGATGACGAAGCTCCATTGTTCCTCTCACTTTTGTTTATGCAAACTTCCAGGACAAGATACATCAATAGGCAGGCCTCTAGATCATTTGCATTTTTTTGCATCTTGGTTATCAGGGGCTTTACATGGCTTTACCCAGTTGTGTGTCGTATACAGTTCCACCAGTTGCAGACCATCCTTCCCGGAGGCCAACCAGCTTTAATTCGCAGCTAGTCTCCAGCAGTTTGCAAGCGCGCACCTCGTTGGATGCCTCCTCAAAATCGATGAGTGCATGCTTCTCTTTGCTATCCACCCCCAAATAATAGGGCTCGAACTCTGCCGGGACGCGTTCAAATTCCAAGCTACCTGTGGCTATGGCAAGCATCTCCTGGATATTCTTGTGCTGGTCTAAGACCATGGTCTCACAGTAACCATCCAGGATCAACTTCGATGCCATGGCTTCGGCTAAGGTTTCTCTCGCTGATGCAGGTCCCAACACAAAGTCGCAGGGAACCTGTTGCAGCGGTCTCAACTCACCTGAGGGAAGCAAGGCGTTGCCCGACACCCTAAGATGATTAGAATCCAACTTCGGTGGTTTAGGAAGTGGTTTTGAATGATCCGGGTTCCATTTCAATATTTCTATGTGAACATTTGTTACGTTCAAGTAAAATAAGCAATATCAAACTTGGCGTTCAACCAGCAGCTGCCTGCCCGGATTAAGCGTCCGGGGAAGGTCAAGGCCAACCATCGCACCGCATCCAGTTGTTGCAGCAGCTGTGCGGGGCCATCGAAGCTCAGGTCACCCAATGGTTCGAGCTTGTCGTTCACCTCTCAAGGCAGCAGTTTTCTCAGCCTGGTTTCTTCAACGGTTGTTTGCCTCTGACAAACTCCCTGAAGCTTTTTATTTGTGTCAGCTCGCAGCTTCTTCGCAGAAATACTACGTTTGTCGTTGTTTTTCCCAGGGTATTTGGTTCTCCCACAAAGGGTAGGGACCTCATCAGCGCACACAAAACTGACTCATCTGCGCACACAGGGTTTTAGAGCATTTCATACATGTTCTGACTCATCTGAGCACACATTTGACTCGACTATACTCACAGGGGTGGGGTGGGGTTGGGGTGGGGTGGGTGGGGGGCTAATAACGTTCATGCTCACTTGCGCACACAGGCACTGACCACTCAAGCTGGTCTTTTGATCATTTCACCGACGCTTGATCCGCTACATGCATCAATATCTCAAGTCCCAAGCAATTTACGAAGGACATTATCTGCTCCTAAACGACAATAATCGACAATATGAACATGAGCGCAAACAGTGAGACAATAAACAGAAGATTCAATGAGGCTGGCCAGATAGATATAGTAAAGTAAACTAAAGCCATGTGTGAAACAGAAGAGAAAAAGAAGATGATCTGAAGATGCAAAATGTGAAGATGTAATATGAGAAGATGTAATATCTACAGACGTAAGATGTGTGAAGACATTATGTCAGCTCCTACAAAAAAAGAGGAACCCTGCGCTCAGGTGCTCTCGGGAAAAACAAAGTAAAGCAACCCAGATGCAACTGTCAAGTAGAGAATCCTCGCGTGCAAGGACGAGTAAGTAAGAGAACCACGTGTACAAACGAGGTGCCGACGTTCCCAAAGTGCGTTCACTTCATGTTCGCCAGCTTTGCTACTTAGTGAAAGGAAACTTATATAGATGGGTGATGATGGGTGAATATGCAAATCTGGGAGTACAGTGCTCATCATCAAGCAATCATGCCCAGACTGCCCGATCGGCGCCTCTTCATGGTTTCCCGACACTTGAACTAAAGCACCAGGGACCAGGTACGTCATGATTGGCCGTGCGGCCCGGCCGCGCACAGGTTGCCCTGCTGCTATAAAGGTCAGCCGGTGGGTTCGTTGACTGCTAAGTGGTGGTCAATGTTTGTCACGGGTCAGTGGGGTCAATACGGTTGTTGTTGTTGTTGTTGTTGTTGTTGTTGTTGTTGTTGTTGTTGTTGTTGTTGTTGTTGTTGTTGCTGTTGTTGCTGTTGTTGCTGTTGTTGGTATTCATCATGTTGAGAATCTCGGTCTCTTAAAGATTCAAGAGCAAAGTTGTGGGAAAATCTAAACAGAATGGGCTGGGTTCCCTTTCTGAAGCTGGCAACCAGCCAGTGCAGTGTTGGAAGGATGAATTGCACAAGCCCCGAACACGAGCTTGACATGATTCTTGATCCTGATGTCATGAGCTGCCATGGGACCATGCAAATCTTGCTGGAGCCAAACAACTCTCATCTCCGAGTACTCGGCGGATCTCAGTGAAGTATGGATATGCCGATCTTCCCAAGACTTCATCTTTGTCTGAATGCTGCTACAACTTTGCGCTTCGAAAACAGCACGCACTCGCACCAGTGGTCCTCCATCACCTCGCAAAAACCAACAATTGTAATTTGACGGTCAAAGTTGCGCAAATCTGTAGCAGCCGTCACTATGGGGCAATACTTCGCTCTGAAGGTAAAGAAGCACATCCATGCTTGGGACAGAAGGATCATAAATCTTGCATATGTCATCCATCTTATCTCCCGTGGCAGCTTCATTCAACATATCGAGATATACGTAGGTTTCGTGCATCGGCCGCCCGATTTGCCCAGCCCTCTGGACAATTGACAATCCTTGACGCCTCTTTTGGAAACCTCACACTTCTGCTTCTGAGTCATCATCGTCATCTTCCATGATGTGCTCGTGAAGCTGAGAGATGTTCCTCCAAACCCAGCAGGAAAAAGCGCACACCCTGGAATAAATCGACAAGCAAGCTGGTACATGGTGAATATCGATATGCAGTCGACCAGCATCTGCCACAACCATTGAGGGCATGTTCCAACTCTGGGGCGTTGGAACCGCAGGGGTGAACACCATGAAAAATCGGATCTAGTTGGGGTAGACCATGGTAGGTAGACCATGGTAGGGGGAACTATGTTTCAAATTTCAACGATGAATAATGATAAAATATGATAAATATGATTAAATTAAGCATGAACTAAATATTAATGTTGAGGACTACGGTCGAAGATTTATGGGTATTTCAACCTGGGTTTTTTCTGGCTGCCTGGCAGCCATCTCTCGCAGCTCCAGAGGCATCTTGCTGGCTATGAAGGCCTGTCAGAAGAAGACCCAGGTCCAGACCTGGTCTTAAACTCCCTGACCATACCCAAAGGATCTAGATGATCAGGAAAGTTCAGAAGCATTTGGGTGCTATGCCATCGGCTCACTTCATCGCCATCACAATCCAACTGCATTGATCCTATAGCCATGCCATGCAAAAAACCCATCTGCCCGCCTCGCGCAGTTCTTCGGACATCCTCGCGCGATTCTGCAAAGCCCAAAAGGGATGGTGCAACCTCAACCGCAGACTTCTGCCATGAAAGCCATGGCTGAAGTCATGGCTTTAACAGCACAAACTTCCAGTGGAGTCCAAGCCTTCCAGGAAATTCATGTCAGATCGGAATGATTCCAATGATTCCAATGATTCCAATGACCCGTTTGATCCCACAAAAATACAGGCGCATCGCACAGTTCGCACAGACTGAGTATCCCAAACGTCACCGAAGCCTCCAGGTGCACTGCATAGTGCCACCTTAGACGAACTCGATCTCTGACCAAACGAACACCGATGCATTTCCTTCGGATCAAACCACCTGATCCCCGCCGGCGGTCAAGATGGTCAAGATGGTCAAGATGGTCAAGATGGTCAAGAGCCAAATGCCAACAAGTGTTTTGCAACCTTGTGCGTCTCACTTAAGACATGAGAAACAAAGTGAAATATAGTGAAATCCTAGGAGTACGTGTCATATCCTAGTGAGCTACACTCATCCATCACCAGACTTCCAGCAAATGCCAGCATCTCTCTTCATTGAGGTTTTGCTGCCAGACTCTCAGACGAATTCTCGAATTCTCGAATTCTCAGGAGGCCACCAGCCGCTTGGCACAATCAAGGATTCGCCAGGTTGAAGTATCACAGTCTGCACGTCGTGGCTTGAAAAACGTCGAAAAACGCCACTGTTGGGATGAGAATCAAACGGCCCAGCGTTTCAAGGGCAGCTCCATGAAATCCATGCTTCAAAGAATTCGGTGTGTCTGTCGAATCTATTGATCACACCTGAACTTGATTACATTGATTACTCCCACCCGACCCAAATATATAGCCTCGAAACTTGCGAACGTCCGCTATGAGCGACGGAGAGCGACGGATAGCAACGGATAACGACGGAAGTTAATTGAGGTTTCTGCAAAGACGATGTTTTTTTTCCATTCCATGACCTCGATGGGTTTTGATCACGTACGCACCTCACATTCGACCCTGCTGGATACTCACATTAGACCTACCTCACAACACAACCGCAGTGCCTGATACTTATCGAACCATTTATAGTTTTTGCTAGGGTGGGGTTGGGTGGAGTGGAGTGGTGGGATGGTGACGTTCACTGACACTGGGAATAGAAACTACTTGTACTCACTCACTTACCCCATACAGGAAATCATAATCTCTTTTCAAACATACTCAAAATCATGTGCCTACTCTTAGTGATGGCAGCAGAACCTCCTATCCAACATTGGGATACATTGGGTCTGTTGTAATACGGTGGCCCTTTCGCACCGGACACCGCCTATTTCTCACATTGGGGTTTTTTAATCTGTGGCACCTGCCCAAGATCCCTGGTTTTTGTCTGTTCTAAACCGTCAAAACTCCATGTCTTCGCCTTACTTAAGAAATGAGGGATTTGTTTTTTGGGGGGCCCACCTTGGTGTTGTACTTATTAAGATAGAGGAACAAATCTGTGTAAGGAAAGGAAGAGGAAAGCAATGAGAAAGAAAGAGGAAAGGAAGAGAGTAGAGGGAAAGGAGAAAAAGGAAAAGAGAGGAGAAGGAAAGGAAGAAGAGATCAAGGACAAGAAGAAAAGAGGACGAGGAAAGAAAGCGGAAACAAAGCGGAAGGAAAGAGGAAAGAAAGAGAAAAGGAAGAGGAAAATGGGAAAGAAAGAGAAAGGAAGAGGTAGCAGCGCCTCTTATTCCGGAAGAGGAAAGGAAGAGGAAAGGACAGGAGGAAGGGTCCAGCCGTGGTCTTCAGCTACTTTTTGAACAAATGGGTCTCGCTAAGGTATCGCTAGTGGTATCGCTAGTGGTATCGCTAATTTCGCCCCTTGCATGCACGCAACTTTGTGTAAACCAGCTTTTGATGTCGCAATTGTAGGTATCGCTTTTTTCTTGGGGCGCTACCGCTAGACAGTGTTTCGTGCACTTTCCGAACACCAAGGTGGCACTCCCTACCAGAGTTTTGAAAGTACCTCAAATCTTCGATTTTCATCTACCTCGTTTTTTCACACGAACCAACCTTGTTTTGCACCTGAGACTATTGTACGTGTCAAACAAAAATCATCCAACAGCTCGGGCCAAGCCTGTGCCTGGGCCTTGGAAAAGGCTGCATGCCTGCAGGATCCACGCCAATGGAGCCACCAGGAAATTTGGAGCAGAGAATCCAACCCCATTCGAAGGTGAGACTCTGGGTTTTAATGGGTTTTATATGGTTTTTATGACATAGATGCTGGATCACAGACATTTAGTATGTTCAGTTTCACTATGTAAATCGTGCTGCAAACACTTGAGGCCATCGTGGATGTTCTCCAAAGTGACCCCGCTGACACACACGTAGGGGCGCTCTGTACACAAGATCATGTCTTATCTAATGTTGCTTCGCGAACAGCTGGTATCCGAGCCAACACAGAAAATCAGCTACATTCACCTGTCTGGAGCACGAATAATATGAAGAACGCAAAAAGCAAAGGGTTGTATGTGATTTGGTTGTATGATACGTATGTGATTTATTTATCTTTATTTCAGAGCGCGTCTCACAAGTTCTTTGGGAGGTAATCGACATCCACCAGCACGTGGAGAAGCGCCACCAAGAGACCTCTTGGGATTCGGAAAGAAGATATCCACAGAACTCACTGAAGCTGCATAGCCTCTCCGGTCAGGTCGGAAGCCAGTGGTGTAACGAAAATCCCATTGCTCTGCCCCTCAACCACATGTCCCGAAGCCATTTGAGGGCTTTGCCTTGAAACGAGAAACCATCCTGGATGAAATTGGCGTGATCTTGAAATAAAAAGTTCCATCCCTAACACCTGTTTAGGCTAAGATGGCTAAGCCTTAAGGATTTTGGGGGTGGATCAATTCTATTAGCCCAGCGCCTTCCAAGTGGTCCACAGGCCCACCTTCCTCCTGTGGCTCAGCTGTGCACAGTGAGACTCGAACGCCGATTTAAAGAGTCGTTGCGCTCTCTCATTGCAATGCATGAAAACACTTTGAATGCATTCATAGTTTGCCAAGGTCTGCCATACACCATTTCAACAGAGTGCAATGCGGTGGAACTAGTTGAAGATGCAGATTGAAAGGTACCTGCGCAGCCACTCTTTGATATCGCGGCAATCTATCATCCCGACCGATGTGCTGGTAGAGATGCACCCAAGCATCTTTGAGTCATTCCCAGTTCTATAATTCCGACGTTTCTTCCTTTAAATTTGCAAGCGTTGCTTCCACCCTGAGATTCTCATGATGAAACTGTTAGAATATAGAGTAACATATCCCTCGGCCCTTGTTGAATTATGCCTTCCACCATACCCGGGTACACTTTTTTTCTCCGCCCAAAGCAGCTCCCCGTCCTCATTCAGGTTGCCAGTCTGTTGAGGGGCAAAAAGAAAGAAGAGTCTTCTCCCTTCAATCTGCGTGTACCAAGTATGTGCCCCATTGTTGGTGACGTGCAAGCGACTGATACACCCTGGTGCGCCCAGGGATAACCTAAGTGTGCCGCAAGTGAAACAGAACTGACTACCCATTTGGCCCTGACTCAAACATCTGCTTCAGTCCGATATTATTCCTGTTCCTGCTTACTTCGTTGCAAGTTGCAGGGAAAACACACTCCTGAGATGTCCTGCCACTATTAGTTGTGCACAGAGACTTGTAAAAACGAGCGAAGTAATCGAAGAAATCCAAATTGAAGACCTGGGCACCATTGTCGAGGACATGAGTGCACATGGTGTGTACAATCAACAGAAAAACAAGAATAACACATCCAAGCTTCTTGGAAACGAATGGAAAGAGGTCATTTTAGGTATGTCCGCTGAACTAAACAAGGCCATTTTAGTTGCACCTCATACTGCTTCCAGCCAAGAGACTGTGGTGAACATTTTGATCCACTTGAAGGACAAATCCTTGACTCCACGCGGAGTCAACTCCCGCCAGTGTTTCTCCAGCAATTTTCGGCCTTGTGCATTGACGAATGGGCACCATCCGTCCATCACAAGTCCTTGGCTGAAAAAAACCCTTGCCACTCTGCAATCAACACTGGGATTCCATTCATGGACCTGCAGAGTTGTAACGCCGTGACAAACCGACCACACCAATTTCAAGCAAGAGTCTGGGATATGCAACTGCATTTTCTTCCAAACATGTGGGATCTTTTTCTTGCAGAAGTTTCGCATAGTCAGCATATTCACCAGGCGAACCCTCAACATCTACGATATCGCTGGCACGGCGATCATATTCATGGGCAGGAGACCGAGTACGACATTTCCACCAAAGGTCCTGACTCTGAGCCTTCCAAAAATCCATAGTCCTCAAAAGTGGCGGTGGGTTCAATTTGCCCAAATGATTGCGGGGTTATCCTATGTGTTTTCCCAACTGGTTAACGTTCACAGTATGGTGTTTCTCCATCATCTTGTCTTGAAAGAAGCCTTCACTTCAAACAGTGCAACAGAAGAATTCAAAGTTACAGTCGTTGCATCTTGTGTTGCTCCTTTCTTTGGCGCTGGTCACGGCTATAACTTCAGACAGAGCACTGCAGCCTGGCTTTCCCTGCCCCAATGTGGGACGTCCCAACGCATCACCAAGGCTCCAATTGCGTCCGCACCAATCTTTGGAGCAAGGCACCACCACTGGAGCTTTAGGAATTGCAGGGGCGCTGCTCTTGGATTCAACTTGACTGCATGCAGCTGCACAGGATGCTACGGCTGTATCCAATCGGAACTCCTTCCAGGCTGAAAAAAGTAGTGGGGGCAAGGTTGGTGAGTGGTGTGTGAATTTTAATGGAGCGCACAGATGGGTAGGTTCATTGTTTCAAGGTTGCGATGTAGGCCATGCTTGATTACACTTGATGACATGCACTTGAATACATGTATGAACGACGTATGTTTGTATGTTGTGCAAATATATATATATATACATTACTATATATGTATATGCACACAGGAGTGCGCAAATGCGTGTATGTCTGCACGAGGCTAGCTATGGATATACTAATGCGTTTGGGTGTGCCTGTGCGTGTATGTCCTTTTGTATCAGGATATGTGGCACCACCTGCAAATGTATAGTATGATTGTATATGCATACATGTTGTTTGCGTATGTATTTGCGCATGCACATGCGCATGTGTATGTTTATGTGTAGGTTATATAATGTTTGTGTGTGCGCGCGCGCAATGCAATGTACTGCAAACCAATGTCAATGCACATCGACCTGTGCATGTGAATGTAAACGCTACATGTACATGCATGAAACATGGAAGAATAGACTATAAAATTCAAGTGTGAATGTAACATTCAGGATTACAACAAACATGAAAAGATCATACAAGCAAATCTTCGAAACGTAGCCATAGCCAGCAGATGTGGACATGGGGGAAAGGAGGAACCCATCAATTCGCATCAGCCATTTCAAGCACCTTGGGTGTCACTGCAGCTCCATATCCGTCGCTGGGCGTTTTGCTGGACGCTGTGGCAGCATTGCAAACAGCAAGGTGACGACACCACGATGCCTGAGCTTCGGTTGATATTTTGCTGTGCTGGTCTGAAACAAAACAAAACAGAAAGGACCCGTTTAGAATAAAACCAGCTGCCCAGTACATGTACACACATACCTATACATAGCATGTACTGTACATATACATATACGCATACAGTCCCATACACAGATACATGTACATGTGGTCCGGGGGGGCTAGAAGTGGGACATCTATAGAATGGAACCCCATCTCTACAGAATGGAGGCCTGGACCAACAAATCATAACAAGTCTCTATAGAATGGAACCCCATCTCCATAGAATGGGACCTCCAAGGGTCCTACAAACAGAGACATGTCTATAAAATGGAGGAACCGGTGATTGGCTTGAAAAGTGCTTAATTTCATTTTTTCCCACTTTTTTTTGCCTAAAAAATGGTACACAGAGAAATTGCAAAATTATGTGAAAATTGTGTTCTTGTTGTGGGCTCTGGGAATACCATTCTTTAGAGATTTTCTTCATATCCTGGTCGACCTTGAAAACTTTGAAAGTTCAAACATGTTTCCACAGGTTTCTGTATAAAATGGAGGACCTCAGCACATACCCCTTGATGTCATTGAACCAGTGAGCTCTATAAAATGGAGGACCTCAGTGATGTCATTGAACCAGTGAGCTCTAAAAAATGGAACTTCGTTTTTTTTGGAGAAAACACAACTGGTGTCTACAGAATTGGAAATCGAAATTCTGAGGTGATCGCGGTTGATAACCCTGAATCTCTATAGAATGGAACCTCCAGCTTCCAGTCAAATAGCGACCGGTACTCCTCTAAAGAATGCAAGTGTTCAAACGTTGAAAACCCACAACCCAAATCTCTAAAGAATCGTGAGGCCCAGGGTCACCATTTCCTAGAGGAAATTCCAAGGGGGATTGCATGGACGTATACATGTACATGTCCATAGACACAGACATAGAGATGTAGGTGTACATTGACATAGACCTAGACATAAGATGTACATGTACATTTACACATACTAAAATACATAGGCTAAAAAAAAACATTTTCAAGGCTAAAGTCTTTTTTTTCGGGGCTAAAAATCGGTCCCATACTAAAATACATACCCAAACACAAATACATATATGCTACATCCGACCCAAAGCCTACCTTTGTGGTCTTTGTACTTTCTGTACATTTTACGCATTGAATGTGTCCAGTGTCCTTTTTTGTGCATTGTGTCTTTCAGGGTCCCAAGTCGACTTGTATGTGACCTGAATCCAAGAAGTCGGAAGCTGCAACTTGAGCACTAGTTCCTTCCCTACGTAAGATTCTTTTTGGCAGGAAGGAATGCTGCGCTGTCTTCCGATTTGTTCTTCTTTAACGGGAAGCTCATCGTTTTCAAGAAATGGTATTGAATACTCCACATGTTGACAGAGTACTGGATGTTAGAACCATGCTACATGTTGTGCAGGAATCGTGCCCTTTTGCAGGGATAATGTACCACTCTATAAACCCACCCAGCCATGGCGAGGTCATCCCAGACACGTACTCTGCAGATGGCTCTGAAATCTTTAGCTCTGCCAAGCGCTGCCGCGCTCGAGACAGCAATGGACAGCTCTGTGTACCTGGCCAGGGCCACTGTCACTCTACCTGTGCAAGGCCACATCCTTAGTCCTGCATGTCATTGGAATCCCGTTTGTAATCCCATTTGAAACCCAAATCTCATCAAAACTCAAGTTTACGTGAGTCATGGCTATACATTGGTTCATCACATCATGACATTTCATGACCCTAGCCACTTCACTGACACCAAGCTGAGACTTCCGTCTCACGACTAAGTTTCCAATGCTTTCCGTTCTTTCAAGTGGAGAATTACAACTCGGCGGTGAATCAGCTGGAAGATATCCACAGTCTCACTCTAGCTGGATCTGGAAGCCATAAAAGTGGGGAGAAGATTCCATGCGTTCGTTGCTGACCGCAAACCATGTATGATTGTCAATCCATCGGGTGCTCTCATCAATATATTTTACCACAAGTCTCCTTGGAACATTCATGCATTAATGCCCGGATTGCGTTCAAAGGGTTTATGGGGCGTCCACGTTCAAGAAAAATCAATGGCAACACAACATCATGAGTTACTGCTTTCAAACATAAAAACTGTAAATTGCCCCCTGTAAAGAGAAAAGGGTAAAGTATGGTAAAGTCATGTCGCAAATCTTATACATGTTCCATGCAGAAGACCACACCCATTCATGCTTGGCCCACCTTTGGAGACTTCCTTGGGTTTGAGCTGTCCATTGCTCCCCAAGAAAAGCTCCAGGTCAGACTTCTTCCAAAAGCGAGCTTCCTCGGGCACCTGTCCCTGGAAGTCCGGGAACAGGGATACCTCAGAGCCAAATTGTCAGTGCCGAAGCTCTACAAACAAATTCGCAGGCAAGCGAATTAGGAAAAGCTTCAAAGGTGGGTCAGATAGCGCCCCTTAGTTACCCGACTCGCCCTTTGCTCTTGCATGTGCATTGTATAAATTGCATAAGATATCATAAGATTGCAGTCTCCGAGGGCTCTTCAAGGCCAACATCCTGCTCTGAGGGTGTCACGTTTGTTTCCTTTTGCCCGGACCTTTTCTGAAGTGTCGACAGCGCGGTCTCAGATATAGGACCACCCTTTTGGGTGACAACTACTGTGCAGCACATCCGGCGGATCCTTCCTTTCCCTTTGCAGGGTCTACATCACAAACGCCCCAAGGCGCCAGCCACCACATCGCTCCTCTGGAACACCTCGGAGGCCTTGCACGTCACTTTTCGACACATGGCGCTGAACGCAACTGGTCGAAAGCTTAAGAATGGGCAATGAGCGTGTCTGTTTGAGCTCCAAAGGTGCCAGCTGCAGAAACTGGCTGACTGGCTGGTCCGATTCTACATCCTTGACCATCTATTCTTCAAAGCACCAAATTTTGAAGCATGCAACTTTTGGCCAGCGGGGACAGCTTGATAGGCGCACACTGAGCTACACCGGAACCTTCCTAACGGCCCACTGCTGTTTTTTGGACTCACAAGTTTTCGGCCAAACATGTTCAAAACGGCAAGGGAAGAGGGTTAAAGGAGTCCCTTCTATAAGAAGTGGAGAGGGTTTCTTTGTCACATTGTCTCCTCATGATGCCGTCCAGTCCCTCTAACAGCTGAGGGACCAGTTCATCAATTTCGCTTTGTTCCAAGGGGGCAGCCAACACCTCCATGGCGGCCCACTGCCCTCGGCAAATCAACTTTGTTACTAAGTATAATATTACTCTTTTGATGTGCTATCTATTGGTTCAAAAAATCCAGCATTGAGATGCTTCACTGTGTCGTTTAAGCAGTTTCAATGCAGATATTGCTTGTCATGTCGCACATCAGTCCTGCTCAGTGATGCATTGTGATGACTGTGCCGTAGAAGGGTACTTTTTCACAAAGCCAATGACTGATTCCAGTGTAATTATGCGCCAATAATTAGCTTGCGAACACAAAAACATGGTAAAACATGCATCAGGGGGAAATTCAAGTGGCTCTTGACCACCATTTATGTGCCTACTAGTAGCAGCATCTTTCGTTCGGTCTTCAAAGAAAAGCGCTAGATGCAAGCGTGCGACATCAGTGAATCATGCAACTCACAAAGACGGCCCTCCCGAGCTTCCCTTTGGATGCCACCCACAGGGTGCCCGCATCCTGTGCTTTCACCCCACCCTTGCATCTTTCATCCCTCCTTGCTCCAGACCCAATCCCATGTTAGGTGGGGGGCATGTCCAATATCTAGGGCCCCATCAGAACATGCCAGAACAATGCGTTTGAATGTCACATCAGCTCCGCTTTCTGGATACCCATCATGCAGCCCGCCAAATCCCAAAACCGTTGAGCGGTTGAGTCCCTTTCTACGCATCCGAGTCGGAGGATGAGCTGCTGATCGCGTGCGGACCATGCGCATCGCGGTTAAAGCCGCAGGCACGACCCACGCAGCTGTCAGGAAAGAAGCTGTCGAGGATCCTCGGATGAACGGCTTGGACATGATGGGTTTCATGATAGCCGTCCTAAAGCAATGGAAGAAAGTAGAGAGGAAACTCTCTGCGATAGGAAACAAAAAGAAAGTTTGTGAATGTATAATATATATATATATACATACATATATATATATATATGTGATTTCTGCAATTTTGAATGAGCAGCAGTGAAGCATTAAGGGATCGATAGTTGTTGGTGAGATCCCAAAGGCACCTGATGTTTTAGAAAGCTACCGCAGGGAGCAAAATATATTAAAATATTGTGTGTTTAAAAAATAAACTTCCATTCCACAAGCCATCCGTAACAGCCCCGCTCGTTGCCAAGCTATGACCTTTGAGCTATGGTCTTCTGGCGGGGTGATCTCTGCAAGAAATCTGCCCAAAAAGTGCCAGCCCACCGAGGTCCACACCATGCAAGCGTTGCAGTGGGTATGAAGTCTGTGAATGGAAGAAGCTCCTCCAAACATTGTTACCAGGTTCAAGTTTGAATACCACCAGCACATTCAGATTGAATCTAGAACAGGATATCCAATAGCTACACCATCTCAATTCAAGAAACATGACAGAAAAATTGTGCGATGCTGCCAACTTTCTCTAGTCCCGAAAGCCTTCCCCTGCCATGTCCGAGCAGCCTCCGTAAAACCAATAGCTGAAATGCCTTGGCAAACAAGGAAAATCAGTAAAATATGAAAAAATATGTATAATATTCAGTTCCTCAAGCTCCACTGCTCCACCAACAAAGATTGTCATTGTGGATATCCCCTGCGGCTTGCCTTGCTTCCAGTCAAGGCAAAATAAAAAACAGGCCGGCTTGCCATGGAACATAGACATAGATCACTCATGTCTCCGAACTATTTCAACATCGCGAATCAAGACATTGTAAAAAATTGTGTTGTGAGCTCTGTTTTACCCATGTTGCACTACCTACGCCATCCTATGCCTACCTGGACCAAGCATCAACCTTCAATTCGCTACTGAGTTTACCGCCTCGCACACGAATCTACCTGCCGGAACATATCCCGGAACATATCCTCTGAGATGCCCCACCCATTGAGCGGAAGAGCATCATGAGGGCAATACCCTGTGCCGGCAAAACATGGAGGCGTTCTTTGGGTATCAAGCTCCATCTCCAAATGTCTTCGGGGAGCGAAACAGAGACCCGTCGTGTTCAACATTTGTTGACACCGGCCTGCACAGGAGCATAAGCAACATCTGCCGCCTGCGGTTGATCAGAGCCCACTGCACTTACCATCCAACAAGTGTTTAATGGCCCCGAACAAGACTTTTGGACCATGATATAATCGGATTTTGCAGTTTCTAAGTTGAGAAGCACTTGTGTGGATAGTTGCTTCTACTTCCGCTGTGGTGTGGATGTGAAAGGTCAGGTGGTACCTGCACCTGAGCCACGCCACAAGACTGTATATAGGTTGATCTGGATTTGCATCACTTTGCCCTTAGTCATGGCCCTACATCATCTTGGCACGGAAGGCCGACAGAAGGCCGGAAGGCCCATAGGTATCCCGCTCTCAATTCAGATCCCCAACCTCGCCAATGCCCGGGAAGAAGTAAGTGGCATCGCCGAACAGGTCCAGACCTCGTTGGCAAAGGCTGGAAGTACACTGACCTCTGGGCTGAAACTCAGCACATGGCAATGGTTCCGGCCATAAACCCTTATGGTTATCGCACCTCTGGATGGAATCTGTTTCTGCAGCCTAGCATTTTTTCGGCGTCGCAAGCCTTCAAAGCCAAAACTAGTTATGGCCTGGTATCGGGAATGTCCATCCTTGCTCCACTACCACAAAGCCCCTGACCAGAGCCAGTAACCAGGCACCGGGCCAAGGCATGCAACTAGTTTGAGAAGCTGCCAGAAAGTACAGGCCTCATGCCATGGGGTTTGATGTAGCATGATGTCGCGTCATTGATCGCAAATTTATCAACCATCGGCAGTTCAGAATGTGGCAAGTGATGTGCGTTTGTGCCAGGGAAGCAGCGTCGCAAACTAACGATAAACTACGTTTTAACAGTTTGGTTCCGTATAAATACATTGGTATCCAAGGTCAGCCATGATTTATTATATATATATATACAATACGTCCCAACAAAGCAACCGGGGGCCAACTGTCAACCCCTTTCCTATCATGTCACCTATTCTGACCCTTCGTATATCATGGTCAATTCCATTGATCTT